AGTGCATGTCGTTGCTGCGGGCGCCAGATTTTTCCTGGACACGGGAGCGAGGATCGAGCTTCCCGCGTCGTCGTCTGCTGCCAAGAAATCTATTTGCGGCGGCGTCGCTACGTTTTTGGACGACCAAGGACAGCGGCCAACAACTCTCTTATTTGCCTTTATCCGCCCTTAAAGTTCGATCCGCCTTTTTCGATTCGATCTTTCAGATTTAATATAATATTGTGCAAGCATTTATTAATAATCGTGCTGTCAACACTTTCGATACGCATGCGATATTCGAAATGTTAAATAATTTAATAGATTATTAAATTATATATATATATATATATATATATATATATATATATATATTAATTTTAGATTGAAAAAAATTATTTGATAGATGAACATTTTCTATGTGAAATTTGGTAATTTTCTATAAAGATACACACAAATTAATTTTTATAATTTTTTTGTACTTTGATTGTCATTACAACATCATAAATGTCCACTTGTACCTATAATAGCCATTAAAAGTGTCGAGACTTCATGTGGACGATTGCCAAGTTTCAGGAGGATATTCTCACTATAATTTATTTATAATGATATATCTGCGTCGTTTATAAATTTTATGAAAATGTTTCAATAATTAATAATTACTTTGTGAATTTTAAAGTGCCCATTATCTCGATGCTTTATTACAAAATATTTTATAGTGGAAAAAATATATAAACTTTAAACACAGATAATAAAGCAACGTAGTTGAAAAATAAAACATGGTGTTTGAAATAAAATTTTGCGACAATTTAATATATAACAAAATCCATTATAACAATATTCTGTATCTTGTTAACGACAATTATATATTAACTCAATTATTTCCAAACTTTGCTTGCAATAAATTGCAAGTGGAGCAGCAGCAAATAGAATTTAATATTCAAAATATACAAAATTTTATCGCCAATTTTTTTACACTCATCTTTTTAATAATTAAAAATATTAAAAACATTAATAGAGTAGAAAATAGCGTAGTTGGACGGATAATGACATTTCATTCTTTTCTTCGATATGATTATTTTTTTATTTCTTCCCGATCTCTCGTAAAATGGATATCCTTTCATCACCGAAATATTTAGTGTCAGTGAGATTGGATGCAATTACGACAGTCTGCCGGATTTTGAGCTCTAATTTTGTATTCGCACGTAATTTTAGAGAGGGACGTAATGTGCACCTTTTCAATGACGCGTTTCTATTTTTATGCTGTGTGTGAGCAGAGAAAGAATTAAATTACCCGAATTTGAACGTTCTCCCAAATTTTCACGCGTGAAATAATTATGATCAGTTAGAAATAATTATAATCAGCGTTAAAATTGAATTTGTTCGAATTGAGCTTAAATCTTCCCTGATCATCTTTGTAAGCATTCTCTCATCGATAAAATGAAAAAAAAATCTATCGCACGCTAATATTAAAATATTAATTTTCTTACTTAAATATTTGGGCGTAGAGAGAGTTTCTAAATATTTTTTCACATTCTTCTTACCTTTCGCCTCTTGAGGAACATTCGTTGGAGCAGGTTCGTTGGAGAAAGAAACGCAAGAAGCGGCACAACGTTACTCCCGTGGAGAAAATCGTTATCGCTGACTGTATTTGTTTCTATACAATTAAGCTCTGTCTATATATATGATCGATGCTTGATACACTGGCGTACAATGAAGCTTCATCGTCCTAAATATTCGGGGAGAGGGGAGAATTAATCTCCGTCGCGATAAATCGCAAGTCATCGGATATTTCGAGATCGACGAGCGACAATGACCGAGAATCTTTTAAGATATGCGCTATGCAAGGCAGGAATGACAGGTAGGCGACGATGCAGTCGTAAACTCGCACATCTCTTTCTCTCTTTTTCACGAAAAGAATTGACAGTGTCCCCTATCGTATCGACGTTTATAACAAGAGATCGATCTCGCCGGCTGTTTTGCGAAACACTCGATAATTCTTTCGCGACATGAGCAAAGATACGTTCCTTTTTGCGAAAAATATCCCGCTAGTTGACCAGAGGATTCAGTTGATATGATGATATGAAAACGCCTCGCAGAAAGAAAGACGAAAGAATCTACAAGACTTTATTTTCCGAATCTCAGAATTATGACCGATTGGCTTTAAATTTCTATGTCTTTATATTTTTTTTTATCGATAGAAAGAAAGCCGAAAGGATATTTAAGAAGACATACATCCGAATGGATTTTTCAAATTGCATATTTTTCCTTAATAGATAAAAGTCGATTCATTCGTTGATTTTTCTGCAGGGCGAATAATAGTGGAATTGGGGTGAAGACTAATCGAGAGTCGTGTTACAATTGAGCGAGATTGCGATGAGCGATCTGCCAATTGCATCTACCAATTGGTCCTCCGAATTGTTTGTCAATGATTTGTACATGTATTGCAAATTATAGATTTACTCCACTGCTCGTTTTTCTTCCTTTTCTCTGTATGTCTCTCTTTCTCTCACTCTCACACACGCACACATTCTCTCTCTCTCTCTCTCTCTCTCTCTCTCTCGATTCTCTTACGTGCACGCGTACATATTGCACATGCAACGCGTATGATACACAATTAGTTTTGTCATTTTTTTTTAAATATATATGTATATATATTGTTTACATTTGTCGCTACGTCAAATTTTTTCATTGTAAATGTCCTGTGTTACATTTTCTCATTTTCTTTCGCTCGTTCTTTCTTTTTCTCTGTCTTTCTCTCACACACTTTTCATACACTTTCATACACACATTCTCTCTCTCTTTCTTTCTCTTCCTCTCTCTCTCTCTCTCTCTCTCTCTTTTTCTCTCTCTCTCTCGCTCGCGGGATTTGTGTCATTAACGGATTGTGCACATATACACGTATAATTAACATATACGACGTAGCGGTCGTTGAAAACATCCATGATTGAGACTTCTGCTACAAGTATACAGCTTATTTAGAATACAACTGTTTTACAAATCGTCAACGTAACGCCTGTGATGTGAATTTTTCTTTCTCATGTGTGTTGTGTTACTCCTTTTCTTGGTGTGATATATTCATGTGTGTGTGTCTCTGTGTGTGTGTGCTCGTGCGTGTACGTGTCTGTATCGATAGATTATTGTTTTATCGTTAATGTAATTATAGTTAATATTAGGCGTATATATATAGTACAGTTTACACACCGTACAATACATACATACAGATACCCGCGACAACCGGAAGAACATTTCCGTCCATAAAAGAAGAGATGAAAATTGTCCCCGTTTCTCGTTCTCAGTCGCTCGATCGACGACGCGATTGCTATTGACGATTCGCAACAATTTCGCCAAATTTGCGATCGATTAATCGCATCCTGTCAATTAATTAACCGCGTCCGGTGTCGCGGGTCGCGTGACTTCTGGCATGTTTCTCTCGCTAAATTAACGCATTACACATTACACCTTATTACAGATTCAGTGATATATAATAGATACCTTTTTGTTTTTATTATCTCACTTATGTACAGAGGGCAGCTTGCCTATAGTAGGTAGGTAGATAGATTTTTAACGCCGGATGACGACTGAAGTAGTAGTAATAGTAGCGGGACGCTGGTACTCCTCGATAATTGACGCCAGATCGATGCTCCTGGTTCCCCTCTGGATGCTTCGCGGTATCGTCGAATACAGCCCTATCGTTATCTAGATCTTCGTCGATACCGATATTGACATTCGCCATTGCTTAAATAATTTCGCAGAGTACTATTTCGAGGTCGATACAATGTATAAAGTCGCCGAGTGAGAATTACTGATTGCGTTACACGTTATAACGCGACATCGCGTTTGTCTCGAAAATTCGAAGATTTAAATTGTATGCTTTACATTTTTTACCGAAGGGACGTTTTCTTTCGTAATCTTGTCATTTTATTTGATGGATAATTAGGTAGATAATTGGTTAAACTTATAAAAACAACTACAGAAATGAAAATTTTCTCTCGCGATATGACTCTCTTATCGCTTTTTATTGATAAATATTATTTCATTGTCTCTAAAAGAAAGAAACGCGCGACAGAAGAGACTTTGTCACGAGGTGTCAAAGAAATTACATTAGTTCAAGATTGATAAAAAACCAAATATCGATAAAATCAAAAACTTTTCAGGAATGTCAGGAAGGTTTGACATTATAATTAATTTGCATAAATGACATCTTAAAGTGTCTGCGAAGATGCGCTTCAGTCGCAACGAAAAATACATTTAGCATCCAAACGCTAAATTTTAAGATACTCGGACTTTCATGAATGAAAATAAATTGTGCATATTTGATCGGCATCGTCATTGTCGCTTTATATTTAAATTACGAGACTTATACTCACCGCGAGTATAGTATACATCAGTGAATCATCGATTGTGCTTGAATAATCGAATACTACCAGTTAAAAAAATATTTCAAGTGTTGAAAAAGTTTGGATAACGAGATATTTTATTTCTTTAGAAGATAAACTTAAAAGATTCTTTTCAGTAAGATATTATTTAATTAGTTTTCAAAGAAAAAGGTAAAGTTATCTATTATGCGGTTAAAATTTTATTTTGCTTGGATATTCATAAAGTTATGAATATTGAGAGTCGTTTGCAAAAAATATCATTAGTTTCATTCTACATAATAAGCTTCTTGTTTGTGGTATAACTTTCTATTAATTAGTTGTTTGTAGTAAAAAACAAAATTTCCTTGAAATCATTCATGTTACTTATTATGGGGAAAATAAACGATTACTTAATGTTCATTTTCTTTTTATAAACTAGTTAAAGATTTAAAATTTGTTTTTTTATAATTTCATTATGATCCAAGATTAGGCAAAAAATTTTATTTTATTTTATTTGAATTTTAAATGATTAAATAATATTTTAAGCGCTTGCTGACATTTTTCACAACAGAATGTCATGTTATAATAGTTGGGAATGTTGTTAAAAAAATTTATATACTTAAAAATTTTTAATGTAATATACTCTTTTAATAATATATTCTTTCAATTTTATCTTTATTTTATGTCAGACGTAAACGTTTAATACTTCCCATTAAAAATTCAATGATTTTGCTTAATTACACATTTATTTTAGTTTGCTATTAATTTTTCAAAAATGCTCTCATATTAGGTAACTTTACCTTAAATCATTGAAATATATTTTTTTATGTTATAATTTTATTTTATTAATAATTTTTTCCTTTATAGAGTATTCGATTATAGATTGATCACGTGAAATTTATTCAATCGTTTCCACGTGAATTACAACGAATATTAATGTAATAATCGTTAAAACAACTGCTCGCGTATCTTATGTTGCTTTTGCATTTAACCTTTCATCTTCTGAGATTGTCGCAAATGTTTAACCGTTTGTTTCTGTCATTCAATTTTTAGCCACAATAAAACATAAATTGTTTTAAAATAGGACTAAATATTTAAATGAATATTTTTTAAAATGGTACTTTTTTACAATTCGCACAATTTCATTTTTAAAGCGATATTAAAAAACGAAATTTCGCATATATTTGCATTATCTGCGTTAGACAAAAGAAGCTAAAAGGTTAATTCGATTCTATTACATTTCCAATTAATCAATTCTAAATTTGTGTAACTTTATCGAATGATTGACGCTTATTGTCAGACTTTCTTGGGCGCATTTTACTTAATGCACAAACTTGAGTCACTCCCTTCGGTTATGCCCGATATTTCTGCATGAATCTATAATGCCAAACATCGAGTGAGCAACATTGTTCCCGCTATAACGATCGTCGTCATTAATTATTATCAACCGCGAAACAATATAATCTTCGAGTATCTTCGTACTCCTAATATCTTTTCTTCGCGCAATTTTCTATCTCTCTTTTTCGCATAACAGAAATCAAAACCTGCATTATTTCGTTGAGCTCAGATCTCGATGCAACAGATACGCGAGAATAATCCCGATGAAAGTCTAGTATAAATTAATAAATAAATAAAAGACACATATTTCACACGCAGTAATGTGCATAACAATCTTAGCATAAAACACGTGAAATTTAAGATATTTCTTAAAATTTACCTTTATAAAGTTAACTTCTTAATCAAGTTTGTGAAAAGATTGTGAAAAAAAGCACAGATATTTCAAGCTTAATTTTTGTTGCTTCAAAGATTAAATCTTTTGCCTTCTTTGATTCTTTAAAAGAAAATAAGAAATAAATTTAAGCAATCTTTATAATAATCTAAGGAGCAATCTGTAAACTGATATCATTAATAACCATCCTAATTAATGTTACGTATATTTTTGATAAGAAAATGCAATGATCAGCGTGTCTGCGGCATGGAAATTTGAACTTATCGAAGTCCATCCCTGGCTCTTATCAAATGGATGAACCGAAAGGAGGACCACGGCCGATCATTGGCCAATTTGGTCGCACCTCGATGATCACAATCGTTATGTGTGTGTATATATATTTATATATATAATTATAGCATACATTAGATTCATTTTACATATCATTTCGCGCTGAGAAAGAATGAAAGGAAATAGAGAACGAAAAAGGCGGCCTCCGAAATAAATAACGTAACGAAGGAACGTTGAAGTAAGTGGACTAGTTAACTCGCCAGCGTCGCACACGACACTTCTTCCTTTTTTCCCTTTCCTCTCTGTCTAACACACGCAACACACACGTGCAACACACACATACGATCTCTCTGGATTTTTTCTCCCTTCTGCATGTCATCGCATTTTTTTTAGCAATTACAGTTAGCGTTCGCTGGATTGGTCGGCTGATCGGTAAGTCGTTGACCCTTGGTCTGGCCCATACCGCCCGCCATCAGAGTCGGATCATTGTCTAAAGATTCGCTCATCTTGTCGCATATTATATCCACCAGCGTCTCGAACACCGCCTGTTGAAACGAGAAAGAGAGAGAGAATCGATCATATGTGTGACCTCGCGACAAGCGGGATCGATATCCGCGCGTTTTCGCGGCACCATAAAGTACAGGATTGTATATCAGAAATTTGTGTGGGACCGCACTTCTCTCAAAAATTCTCGCGAGGATTTTTGAATTATTCCCACTCGAGTAAAAACAATTTATAAAATCGCTCGATTTCGAATTATTCCGAATTATTTCGAATTTTTTGAAACAAGTTATTTTATAAACAAGAAGGAAATACGTTACTTTATTAGTTTACTACAAATATTCTAAATTAATTGCGCAATTATACTTTGTACGTTATCTTATGTAAACCAACGAAAACTGGAAAAAAAACATTTTTTAGTTTTTCCTTTTACAATTAAAGGTACCAATTAATTGTCAATATTTTTTATAACTGTGAAAATATATTTCGAGAATTTAATCTCATTTATCAACTCGTGACGATTTATTTACCGAATTTTTGTAACACACAAGATATACATACCTTAACGTTGATATTCTCCTTGGCTGAGGTTTCAAAGAATCGTACCCCTAATTGTTCCGCCAACTGTTTACCTCTTTCGGAACTAATTACCCTCTCTTCTTCCATATCGCACTTGTTGCCCACGAGGATAACCTGGGCGTTGTCCCACGAGTAGTTCTTTATTTGTGTGATCCAATCTTGGACTGAATTAAAGGACTCCTCGTTTGTGATATCGTACATTAAGATGAAGCCCATTGCGCCTCTGTAATAGGCCGTTGTGATCGTTCTGTATCTCTCCTGACCTGCCGTGTCCTGTAAGGATAATCAATCAATCAATAAATCGAGGAATCGACAAATATAATGCACTTCTATATAAAATAATCAAATGTAATCAGTAATGCATGTAAACGTGATATTTGCAAAATAAGCGAAGAAAAAGTTGCAATAAAATCCAGAAGCAATACATTCATAATGCATCCAAATAACTATTTTTTATGCGCGTACGATTATCGAAAAATATTATACGTGAATGGACAAATAAAGATATACTGACCCAGATCTGTAACTTGACCCTTTTATCATGTCTGAAGACGGTCTTCACTTTAAAGTCAATCCCTACGGTCGACACGAAAGCCGAAGTGAAGGAGTCATCTGCGTAGCGAAAGAGGAAGGAGGTTTTTCCAACGGATGAATTGCCGATTATCAGCAATTTGAACATGTAATCAAAGTTCTGATCCGCGGCATCTCTGCCATCCTGGCGCGCCATCTGCGAAAAAATTTGCTTTAGAGAATTTAATAATTTTCACTTATACATTTTTTAAATTTATAAAAAAATTCCTAAAATATACATGTATAAATTATTTTTTTTAAATTTGTATAAATTAAAAGGAATTATTACGTAAAAAGATTATTAATTTCTTGGAAGCAGAATTTTAAAAAAGGGTCTTAAAAAAAGAATTAGAAAATAATTAGATTTATGATCATATATATAATAGTATGATTAATGATTATAGAAAAATGTTTACATCGAAATAACATATATATATTATTTTTTTAGATTTTGTGGCGTTCATTCACGGATCGACGATTCGAGAGAGAGGATAATGCGACTAGGCTCGTGTATTTCGATTAACTTTGCACGTGCTTGCATCGTAAAATTACGTCCGTGATGGTCAAGAGAAGAAGCCGCTCGATGCAACAGATGCATGTTTACGATGCATGATTCGTCGCAGTTTATCGGACCGCATCATCACGTTTGAGAAAATATTGGATAAAAATATCGAAAAGTTGGAGGCCGCAATATGTAAAGACCCTACATGAGAAAAGGTCAGTATACAACTTTAGTTAACATCTTATTCGGAGATTTAATTTTGATTCATCAATTCTGTGGCATTAATGAAAGGCATTGTAAGTTGCACTTTTATTTTTTTAAAAGAAAATTACTTGTATATTGATTTATCAAAAGTTGATTTATCACTTAGAGTAGAAAATATTAAATAGTTATTAAACTGCATGGATTTTAAAATCACAATTTTTCAGAATTTACTGACAAAATAATATTGGATATAATTTTCTTTTTCTGAAAATACAAATACTTACATTACATTATATTTTAATTTAACTTATTTTATTTAACGATGTCGCTGAATGATAAATGAATCAATTGACATCAAAAATTATATATGATTAAATAATTTTAGAATAGTAATTTCTAAAGTTTAAATCATTAAAAGAAAATTATATTTTATTGACATCTTGCGTATGTAACCATCTCAATTGTCTCAATTGTCAGCTTCACCATCAAGTAATTCATTAGTCTTATAAATCTCTCGTCAATTAAATTGCAGACGGAAAATTAAATTACTCGATCGTGGAGTTTATAAATCGTCAATATTATCGCGCATGGACGGTCTTAATTGAAGTCCATTGAATTCTCTCTCGCGCGCTTTGTTTCTCTTAGGTTTTCTTTTGCTCGAAACGCAATAGATACATATTGAGAGAGTCGATATTCCGATACCGTATTATTCTTCTGCGAGGTAATCTCGACGATGGATAGCATCCGGGCCATCCGCGTACGTAGCTCGAAAACGGAATCCTCGACCGGCGAAGATGCGCTCTTGCACTTCCTCGACATTTTACACATAACATGCGACACTCGATTGATCTGTCACGTCCTTTGCTCTTCCTTTATTGCGGTCTTCGATCACATTAACAGGGCTAATTCTCTTGCTCTCTAATCTCGTTTTATTAACTGCAATTTATTATGCGACTTTTATTTATCTTAAATCGCCTTTTGTGATCTCGTTTCATCGACGCTCTAATTTATTTACCGTTTAATCAAACGCCTCACACGTTTCGTCAACTAAAACTCATCAACTGCTTCGTTAATCGATTCTAGTCTTGTTTTATTAATCGTTTCATCAAGAGCGTGTAACAGCTTATTTCGACAGAATTATCAAGTAACGATGTCCGTACAACACTTTGATTACATTTGATCCAACTATATATGTAATTTTGCCTTCGAAAACCAGCTCATTCGAGGATTATCGGCCGTTATAATTACTATCGAACATGTATTTATTATCATCACGAGCACCATATATTCCTCTTTGACGCCTACGCGAGATGTAACATATTGTCTTTTTAATCACTCGACTGCACTTAATTAATTAATTGAGGATAATTCATGGGTGATATTGAATAGGAAGGAAATTGTTGTAGGAGGTGCACTATGTTCACGATGAACGGCAATTATTCAAGTCGACACGATTAGCGAGCGACGTGGCCACGTTTGCGGTTTCTATCTTTCTTTCGACGTACGATATATTTCTTCCGCACGCACGCGTCGATGATGATAATCAAACCTGCGATAGTCTGCGGTCGCACAGGTGCGTACAGTCGTGATCGCGTCGCCTCAATTCACTCCTCTCTTGAATATTTGCTCGATGAATAATTGAAATCTTGCAAATTTTATCCGTGACTTTTTGTGGAAATACCTGTTTGCTCGCGTCAACCATCTTTTTTTCATACAATCTCAATTATTTGTTATATAAATATTGCCTTAAATTAAAATTTTATATTAGAGTTATATCTATGTGTGTGAAATTGGATTAATGTGAAGTGAAATTTTATTATTCACTTTTTGCATCTCATTGGTTACTTGAGAAAAAAATATTTATTTTTCAAAGCCTGTGGGTATAAAAATTGTTTAAGCAGAAAGGATATTTAAGAGAGAGAGAATTAGTTAAAAATTATTTAAAATTCTCGCGAAGGAATACGATCGATACTTTTACGGGAAGAATAAAACTTGATTTCAATGTAATTTATACAATTGACGAAGATGTCTTTCGTAGTTTGTTTTCTGTCTCTTTCTCGATGGAGAAGTAACGCCAGACATAGCGGAGAATACGTACAATGAAAAGAAGTTGCGAAACTCATCGATTACCGACTCGTCAAAGTTACACGGCTATACTCACAGTGAGAAATAAATCGGTGAATTAAGAGCTATAAATACCCTACGCGAATGTAAAACCGCGGGCGAACCGAGAAACTTTTAGATCCGGTGGCAGGTCCCTATCGATTTCACGCTCGATTCGTCGCGCGAGTTATTTCAGAAGTAAAAAGTGTACGATCGTGATTTCGCTGCTCTTTAACTCCAAGTTTTATATGAAAAATCATAATATTTCTCAAAGCTAAAGTCTCGGATTGATTTCTACTTTTTTGAGCGAAATTTTTTGCGGCTATTATAAATTCCAGTTTGAAAATATGAAATTAAAAAATTTTTTTTCTGAGAAACGAGAAATTTTCTGAATTTTAACTTTAATATATATTTATATATAAAAAATATATATATATATATTTACATTTTTTAAATTTTATTCTAGTTTTTTTTTAAATGAAATTTAGTTTCCAATTCTTTAGTGTCGCTTACATATGATTGAAACATTATTGGCATCTTGACATTGTCGATCGGGAGAGGTCACTTGCAATTTTCCTCAACTTATTTCAAATCGACAGGTCTTTTCGTTTCGCGTATTGTTGCTCGAAAACGTTTAAAACGGTTCCGATCGAGACGATCGCGCGGGATATACTGTATATATACATAATTATTCACGAGAAGCGCGCAATAAAAGGATAAAATCTCATCCGGAAGATTGCGTCACGTACTTATACACGCGCTTCAACACACATATGATTACGGTAGTTGGAGGAAAGTAGGACAAGGTTTTCCGAGTACGATAACGATATCGGTCGCCATATGTCATGTCAACGTTAAACACAGTCGGTTCTCGTAAAAAAGAAACAGGTGTAAGTATGTTAACGCTGCACTACCTGCGCGCATTGTTGCGTAGCGTTACGATGATTTCTGTGACGATGGGTAATTGAGTGTGTCTGTCGGTGGACAGATGATTGAGGCGACGGGCGTTTTACGGAGGTCAAGCAGATACGGAAAATCGATGGCACGGCGACGGGATAAGTCCATTTCCTCTCCGCGACTTGGCTCGCTCGAAATTCCCAAGTGACTTTTTATTATTAATGCCAAAACATAAAGTCGTAGTAGTAAAGTAATATTCGATACTCCTTTTATTTTCTTAGTTATTTAAATCTTGGATCTCTTCTACAGCATATTTTTTTTTTTTTTTTAAGAAAAACCTCATTAAAATGATGTGTATTTACATCTTCACAAGAGCTACTTTTCTATCCAACATAATTTTGTAAAATATAAAAATTCAACTTGTAAATAAAATAATTTAATAGAATAATGTAATAGTCGATAAAATTCGAGATTAGAATTAAAATCGTAGAGGAAAAAAATTGTAGAGGAAGACAAATCTTTTCTTTGACTTTGACACTTGGACACGAGAATCGCCTTGGAATCGCGGGGGAGCGCAATTATTATAGTCTACGGACGCGTAATGATCCGATCCGTATTCGCAATCACGTCCGCGATCCCGTCGATCTCGTTGACGACAGCGACGGAGAACGACATTGAGGGAGCAAATATTTTCGGAGAGGCAAATCGATTGTTACACCCGGTGCCCACCCACGCTCGCGCTCTCGCGCCGCCCGTCCCGTTACGTAGTTTCGATTTCAGTGCATCGGCAGAATGAACGGCGGCGAAAGATGGAGCCCTCGTTTACGTCAGAGACACGCGCGTCAGCGCAAAAATATCGAGTCTTTAAACGACTCCCCCGCTACTTTCATCGAAAACGAATAATTAATCCCATCGAGATGCGCAACTGATTACCGATGTCTCGCGTGTTCATTTCTTCCCTAAAATAATCACGAATAATTATCAATTTTAGGGAACAATTGTTCATCTTGGATAAGCTAATAAAAGACGGCGAAATGTTAGCTATTGTAAAATTAGATAAATAAAAGAGAGAGAGAGATGGAAATTGAAATAAAGCAACTAAAATTTACAAATTTAAAAAGTTAAAAATACTTGTCATGTTAGTATATTATAATTAATAAAATATTCATTTTTTTGTTATTTTATCAATAAAACTCTTATAAGAAGTTTGTATCTACCAGATATCTCTCGAAAGGACTAATGATAAGAATCAATGCTAACTTTCATCTTAATTACGCCGAAGAATTACCGATGAACTATCTGGTGACAAAGACCGGATATGCAGCTAGGTGTTGCACGACAGGTAACTAACTTATCAGCATGTCCTCTAATCTCGGCTCTTCTCGCTTTAATTTTGAGGGAAAAGCTGCGGGGAAAAATTGATTTACGTAACGCGATTTCTCTGCGAAATCTTAACATGGTTCCACCAAATTTTAACTAATCTCGGAAAGAAATGTCGACGCGAAATAAATAAACTTAGGCTTTTGGAATTGATTGAGAGGGAAGGGAGCATGGTCACCTACGTCACGACGATTCTACGACGTCGCATGAAACGCAGAAAGTAAGCCTGAATGAATGAAAAGTCTGGCGATCATGCCCGCAGTTTTCACAATTGATAGAAAGCGAGAAAGCTAAAAACAAGTTTGTCGTCGAGTTGACATTTATACATTGATATTCGTACGTGACAAATGTAGTCTAAATATGTACCTAAGGGAGAGAGAAAGAGAGAAAGAAAGGCACTGGCAAGGATAAAATTGCGATTATCCGTATGTATCGATCAAATTTTTACACGTTTTACGTCTTAAAATCAAAAAGGAGAAAACGAAGTAAAATAAAGCGATTTATTTTAGGAACAGGAGTAGACAGAGAAGCAGGCAGGAATGAAAAGAGATCGAAAGAAAGAAGAGAGAGGGAGAGAGAGAGAGAGAGAGGGAGAGATAGAGAGAGCGAGAGAGATAGTTGGAGAGAAATCAATAAGCAAGCTATCGCGACGAGCTTATTTCCTCGAGGAAAATCTCTCTCTCCTTCTCTCTTCCTCCTTTTCGACTTGACACTTTCTGCCGATCGCCAAGTAAAGATTCTCGCGGACTGTCAAAGTGTCACCTGGAAGAATCACTCCCTAGGAACGGGGAAGGAGATTGTCTCCCTTGGCGGACGACGGATCGCTCTCCCTGATGACGGTCGATGTTGGGAAATCCCGCGCCGATTCGGCTGTCGATGCGACGTGAGATGCGACGACGGATGCACCACGCGCTGCGCTGCGCTCGGCTCGACCGATCGATTAATATTTAACGCGCACGACGGGGAGGAGGGGAGGGAGGGGGGTTGCGAGCGATGCGAACGAGAGAGGAGCGCAGACGGGGACGTTTTCCCTCTCGGATGTAGCCGCGCTCTCGCGATCGCGGACCACGGTCAGCACACGATGCACGCAGGGGGTGTTATTTCAGTGGCAGAGATTACAGTGGCGAGGAGACTGGTGGACTGCTCGGACTCGGCGAAGCGTCTCGCGCACGGCCACCGTAAACCGCCCGAGTCGCTTGTTCCTATATAGCTAAAGATATCGACCATTCCGACGACGACGGGCGGGGGTCGTCGTCGACGACGATCCGGCGGGGGTAGTAGGATCCGCGTCTGCGCGCCGCCGACAACCCCCGACTGACATCAATATAATCGTGAATAGAAGCACACCGGGTTCGTCGGGGGAGAGAGAGAGGACACTTGTTGATCCGCGGGGATATGGGCCGCGGATGACTCTCGTCTCGTAGTCGACTTTTGCGACTTTCGATCCGGCGCCCTGAATCTCGTCTTGATCTCTCCCGCGCGAGATTTTTACATGCGAATCACCGTTATTCTTAACTATTTTCTTAACTATTTCAAGTATTTTTTTTCTCGATAAAAATTATTTTTTCTAAAATAATATTCAAACATAAAGGTGGGAAGTAAATTCTTAAATTAAAAAGTCGGAAAAATCTCTGTATTTCTAATTGTTCACCGCACATTTTGATTCGAAAAAGGAGATTTTTAACATGAGAAAGTATTATAAAGTATATTAGCTTTTTCCTTGAATTTTGTAATTAAAATAATCTCGTTAGAAAAGAAATAAAAAGATAAAAATGATCAAACACAGGTACACGATTTCGTGATTTTATAATAGCCTGAAAGATACAGAGCAAATTTATTTTCGACAATGAATTTTTAATGGCAAAAGTCGTATCGAAAGATTTTAATCGAATTAAATATCTTTCGTGTGTGTTTCTCCCTCTTTTTCTCTAGAGACAAAATTAATTCATATTTACTTAACTTTATGATATGTAACATCAAAATTATTAAGTATCAAAAATTTTTGTTAAAAAATCCATTTCACATTAATTAAAGAATCTGTGTTTGAAATCTGTCATTATAATTTACTTTAATGTGTATTGACAGAATATATCATCCCATTATGAATTTGTTTTTTTAAATAAAAACGACTACATGTTCCATCTACAGTATAATCGAAGAACCGAGTTCTTCTCTATTCCTATTGTTGGTGTCAAGTGGTTCCAATAATCACTTTAAGATTAAGATACTCTATTAATCAGAATTGATATAGCATCTTAAGCATTAGATATTTCTTTTCCCTTTAATAATAATCTCAATTTTCGTACAATTCTCATCACAGAAGAATGATATATATAATTATTATTATTATTCGTTAGTACAGGGAGAGTAAAAGTTTAATTCCACTTATAATTAAATGTTATATGGTCTTTATTTCTCTACAAAAATTAATAATTTAGAAATTAAATAGATATATATTGAAATTAAATAAATATATATTTATAAAATATAAAAGTTTTGGCGAAATAAAAAAAAGCTTCTATAAGCGGTAATACATCTTTTCGGACATTCACTATATTTATTAGATACTAGTAGAACGATGTTAGGAATGCTTTATACAACTGTAATTCCTTTTACGAAATAAATAAGACATATATACAATAACACATCACTTTAACTCTTCCTAGAAATGTCTTTAGCGAAATTATTATAATTTAATCGTTTATATTTTCTTGTTTTTGCTATATCGCTTCAATCGATCAATCTTCATATGCATTTATTTTTTTATATTGCATTAAATTACTGAAATGATAATGAACTTTTTTATGCGATTATTCGCTTTCGCGTTAAACGTAGTAAAAAATAAATTATACATGCATTTAAATATATACATTACTATTAGTTGATTGAATTCAAATATCATTCAAGATTATATAAGAATCCGTTTAAAAAAGATATACGTTTACGTAAGATATACAATTACGTATATTTGCGTAACATTATATATTAAACAAAATAGTTTCGATAATTTTCGCGAAACGCAAGATATATTTCGAATGACCAGATCAATAATCAATTTGATCTGCGAATCTACAATCTACTCTCGATATTTTCGTCGTGTACGATCGCTGGATTCGCGGCCGCCCATTTCTCCTTGGTGACGTGTTGCTCTTTTCTAGGTCGATCCTTTAAATTCTGTATACCGGCGAAATGTTCCTCGACTTCTCTTAAGGTTCTGCCCTCGGTCTCGGGTAGCATCCAGTACAGAAAGCACAGGCCGGCCAAGTTGATGCAAGCGTTGAAAATAAACGTTCCAGAGAGCGATATGCCGTTCATCATGTAGAGGAAAGTTTTATTCGCGATCGATAATAAAATGTAGCCGACCATACCTGAAGCGCCAGTTGCGGTGCTACGTACCTATGTATTAGTGAATTTCATGATTATTCGCGAATAAAGGATTTCTAATGCGTTAAACAGGCGCTTGAAAAATAAGTGCAATCTAGATATGTTAAATTTAATCTAAATTAATTTTACTTTTAATTTATATTAGTTTTATATTTTTAATTTATATCAATATAATGAAATTAATTTAAATAAAGATTTAAATAAGATTAATAAGAATCAAAGCGAAGATTACTGAAAAAAATACACGCACCTCGACCGGGAACACTTCGCCTATCAGAATCCAAGGCAACAATCTGATTCCAAAATTCGTCGCGAAAGCGGTGCCAATCATGAGAGTAGTCGGCAACCAGGTGTATCTGACCCCATCCAGATAATCGGCGTCACTCAAAAAACCGTAGACGGCGGTAGCGAGGAGGCACAGACCGCTAGCGCTGACCGATATGAAGACTAGCTTGCGTTTTCCCAAGAAATGGATCACCAGCACGCAGATCATGGTGGCGACCAACTGAGCGACGCCCATAAACACCGTGGCCGTGTAATTGTCGATCGGTGCTTTGAGTTTTTCGAATATCACGACGGCAAAGGTCTGCAGGGTCGCGCCACCACCGAAGGAACTGACGAAAAAAGATATGCTTATTAGGATGAAGGGCATGTAGAATGTGCGTTTGGTATAGGATCGCCAGATCTCCTTCTTGTCGGAATCGGTATTGTCGGCAGGCTTCTGAACCGTCTCGCAGATCATCTGAAACTCATTTTGTACCTGCGGCGGATTTGTCCAACCCCGTAACCAGCAGAGAGCGCTTTCCGATTCCGCGAAACGACCCTTGGCTGAAAAAAACCGAGTGTGACGATTAATTTAAATTCACTAATAAATTTGTAAAACGAAGTAAAAATCAGATACTACGAAAAAAAAGACGAAGAAATTGTACAATACGTAAATATAATTCGACTGTGTGATCACCTGCGAGCCAGTGTGGGCTTTCAGGCACCAAGCACAAAGCGAAGAAACAGATAATCGGATAAATCAAATTGATCATCGCCACCGTTCTCCAATGGGCTAGGCTACCGCTCAACATTTGCGTGAAAATACCCAGAATGACTGACATCGAAGAAGTCGCTGACAGCATTCCGCGCAAGTTAGGCTGAGTCACTTCGGCGACATAGGTCAGGACCGGTGCCTCCAAGAAACCACCTGTCAGACCTGTCATTGCAAGCGCGGTAAACAACATCGTAGAATTGCTCGAATAATAAAATATCAGCCAGGCAATCACAAACGGGATATTCGTATACATCATCGTTCGCTTTCTGCCCAAATACTGCGACAGCGGTCCGCTCACGAGACAACCGATCGGCACGAGAAATAAATTTAAACTGCCTGTAAAAGAAAATATATTAATAATAAAAATGTAAACAAAATATAAAGTAATTTAATGATATATTTTTAGTTATTTATTGTACAAGAGAAAGAGAGAAAGAAAATCTAGATACAATTTAAATGCAATAATATTAATTTAAATATAATGATACATATAATAATTTTAATATTACGAATATTGTCATACATAAGTTTTAATTAATATTGATTTAGATTATGAGCAACTGATTTTATAAAAAGCCAAAGGTTTGAAAAAAATCTATATGTATATTTTGAAAGAAATTTTTAAAAAAATCTGTTATTTTCAATTATATTTGCAAGCATCCTTACTAATCCATGTTAATTCTTCCGTAGTAACCTTGATGTCTGTGTCTTCCATCTTTAACGCTGGGATGAGGATAGTCGAGAAACCTAAAGTTGAACCAAAGGTAAGCAGGAGTAAATTTTTGGCACCGACTGCACAACATTGTGGTACTGCTTGCCGAAGTTTGGAAATGTACGCCACTTCGACCGGCATCTTGTCATCATTCCTAAAGTACACATAACAAAAGGTATATATGTAATGTATATTTTAATTAAATTAATTATTTAGAAAATATTAAGAAGAGAGAGAGGGGGAGACATAAAACACAAAGCTTATTAAATATGAATGTAAGATTCTTAACAAAAGACATATCTAGTTTCATTTATAACGAATGATAATCAAATCGACGATTGCGCGTAATTTAAGAAAATAATAATAATAAAAATTAATAATGATAAAATTATCGTATCAGCGATAAAAAAATGCAATAATCACTGTGTGTTTCATAAAAGTTTATCTAGATTTTTAGATATTCATTTCATTGTTTTATATTACGTAAATTTTTCGTTTAAAATTATTGTTCTTTGAAACTATTTAACGTTACAGTAAAAGATCTTAGAATTTAGCATATAAAGGTCTTTAAGTCCATGTGCGCCACATTGAACTCTTAGGCCCGGTTCCACAACTCGAATTAATCCGAGTTTAATACGTTAAACTGGGTCCTGATTTGGTCCATTCACTACTTAAATTCGGATTAACTGGATTGTGGAACTGGGCCTTAATCAGTCAAATAAACGATTTTAAATAGACTTTCAATAATTTATCGTTAGCAGTCGAAATAAAAGCCTGACAAGTCCGCGTTATCGAATAAAGTTATTTGGAACAAAAAGAAAAACGATTGAACACGTATTTGTAATTAATTGAAGAAAAATAACATATAAAACTATCTTATAAAATATATATTGCTATTAATAAGTAACGGTTTTAAAGTTATGTATAAATCTCTAACCAGAAATATATACATATAATAAATTATTTAAAAATACATTATCATATTTTAAATTTAATAAAAATAATTACATATACAAACGCATATATATAATACAAATTGAAATAGAATGGAGATAACAACATGACATCTCGTATATTGACAAAATTACGCGCGAGTTCAGTGAAACGCAATCTCTCCATCTTGTTAAGACATAATCGATGATCCATTTACAAAGCCTTTCACTTGATGTAATCGCGTTGCTTTTGGCGATAATCTCTCTCTCTCTCTCTCTCTCTCTCCCTCTCCCTCTCTCTCTCTCTGCAACAGTTCTGAATTTCAGTTATCTCGCGTAACAATCTACCTATAATTCTTGGATTTATGTGCATTAAAAAAAAGATATAAATTTTTCGTAAACTGTTTCTGTACGTCAATGGATAATTTAATAATTTTTTAATAGATATTTTAATCATAGATTATTTTTAATTATTAAACTAATTGACAATTTTCCTCTTATGTCAATATTTTTATATTTTTTAAATTACGTTCCTCCGCATATTATGTTAATTTAAAAATTATTTTTACAATCACAAAAACAATTTTAGCAGTAAATTAGAAACAGGAAAAATCGCCATTTCTTTTATTACGCGGCGTCATAGTACATTTGCCTTTACTTTATTAATACATGAAAAAATTATAATTTTAATACGTATGTTAATACTATAAATTATAATCCAGAAGATATTTCTCTCTTATGAAAAAATACAAGTAAATGTTTATAAAATTATTTACAATATATGTAATGTAAGGAAGGGTCTCGTTACTACACACAAATGCAATATTTTAATTCCTCATTTTTTAATAACATCTGTATTAAAAGATAAGAAATTAAAATTTGGTAAAATATTGATAAAAGCGTTAGTAAAAAAAACTGGTTTATGCTGATCCACATGTTACATTGCGCAAACATTCAAGAACACGCGTGATGATTACATAAATGCAATGACAGTTGAGGCACCTTTTGTGTGTCCAATCATGTCAGTTTAAAACCACTAACATCACACGAAAGTACCGGCGAACAATTCAACGATTAGCGTGAATGGATTTACACAAGGTCGCGGTGAACATTCTCTTCCGAATCATCTTCTTACGCGTAAAATACTCGTGCAATATTTTCTCTCTTTTTTTCTGTCCGTAATAAATTATGGATTTATGATACCGATGTACGACGATTGGCTTTAGGCAAAATATGTCGCTCGCGGGTGCGTGCTATTCTCTCATTCTGAATGAAACGAGCTTGGCAATGATGTAACATGGCCAATCATGCAACGCAACCTCATTTTTGTCACCTGTTTGGGTATGTAAAAATAAATACGTTTTTTTTCACGTGCATTCACGCATTACATTTTTTATAGTCTTTATTAAGAGATTGTGTAGATGGAAAGAGTAAGGATGCGTAAATTTACAAGTTATGTTTGAGGTATGACAATAATGTAAGATTTGCAAACGCGTTTTCCTCAACAAAAAAAGTTTATCTAACGAATCTCAGATTAATGGCTAGTTTTTCATAACTTCTTTTAATTTTAAACATTAAATACTTCTAATATAAATTAAAATTCCATTTGAAAAATATAACGCAGACGAGTCAAATATGATTTAAAAAAATTTGTCGTTTGGTTATAACTATTTTAGGGTTCCTTATATGTCGAAGGACTTGTTAAATGATACTTAACGATATTAGTCCAATTAAACTCGGATGCGACTTTAATTGCGCTTAAAATATTAATCGTCTAGTGTCCTTCACGCGCGTAATATTGCGTCAACACTTTAATGCCATTCTATTAAAAAAAAATAATTATCTTACGACATTAATTGCTGAGAGGAAAATAGATTTTATCTATAGGCTACACTTAGGAACGATCGTTTCTTAAATCAGTCGATTCTCAACAACACTCAGCTACTACGTATGTATATAGATTTCGCCATTATTTCATAGTTTACTTTGTCATAATAATGGATATTAAAATATGATAAAATCTTTATTATTCGAATTTTTATTATTTGAATATTTTACTGTCGGCACAATATTTATTTTTAACAGAAAATGTGTATCTTCACTTAGAAACATTCGTAATGTTAGATAAGTTATCGGAAAATTCGTTTAGATCCGGACAACGTTAAATAAACAACAAAGACTTGGTTGTAACATTTTTACTATATTCACAAAAATCTTTTTTCCACTAGAAGAGCAACTTCATCTCTGCAAAGTTTATACAGTTCAGACATTTCTGAAGAACATTTATGGCATGAGAAATATCGTAAAATACGTGCATAGAATATTTTATTGCGTGTTTTATTTCTTTTCGTAGATAAACGTTACTCCATAATATTTCCGTTTCGAGCTTACATGCAGTCTTACGTGGCAGCTACTCGTCAAAAAAAGATACATATCATAATCGAGTGCGATCCTTATAATTGAAAATAACTAGTATCATTATGGGTTAATGAATTCCATTGTTATGTTGTCGCGCAATAAATCCCAGAATAGTTTTTTTCCGAGTTTTGTAAACACTCTGTATTATAATGCGTTGCGACGATGCTTAACATAGTGCCGATGAAACTATTATTATATTAATGAAATTTCTATTAATGAAATCGCCAAATCTAATCGAATGCCACATGCAAAGACGTTTCGTCTCGTAGACACGTTTCTGATTGACGCAAAGAATATTAACGAGTCTCGATGCACAAAAGCGGCATTAATACAATAAGATTGTCGGCCAGTGACCTACTTACAAATAGAGATACAATTATAGTATGTTGGTCAATAACAATTTATCAATAACAATTTATCGATAATAATTTATTGATAACATCCTTAATTGATAGCGCATCATTTGAATTATATAAAATTTACATTTTTGTTAGCTAAATTCATGTAATAAATAATAAATAAATTTACATTTATTTATCCATTTATCGCGATCAAGAAAGTTTAAAAATGAATAACTAGTGAAAATTTAGAAATTTATCGAACTTACGATCAGAATGAAACAGACAAAATTTTAGAAATTTTAGAATATTTTTTACCTTTAATTTTACATTTTTATTGCATTATTTTTTTGCTGTAATTCGGTGTACGCGTATTTGTTTTTTCAAAATATAAAATGTATATATTATGTAAGTATATGTGACGTACGCCGGAATAGTACATGAACAAAATGAACAAAAAAGACAAAATTGTTAGCAATTATGTGGTCGGGAATTCAATAATACTTTACTTCCTGCAATTTGCCTAATGCCTTAGTTTCACTGACAGCTCTAAACTTATTCGTGGAGATATCCCTTTTTAACAGTTAAAAAATACATACATTTGTTACGAATATCTAGCATAAACGATTAATGCGACTATACAACATTATAAATTTTAATGAATCGCGAATATAAACTAATATACAATTCATGAATTTATGAAAGATGCAACAGCTGTTTGCATAGTTTTCTTTCTTAATTTATTGATATTTATTGTTTATATATTTTCCTAAAAATAATATTTTAACTTTTTATATTTCTTAAAATTAATTTATCAATTAAGATTTAACTAGATTGTTATATCATATTAATTCAATGAAAATAGAGTGGGTTCTAGTGAAATTCGATGGAACAAACGATAAAAAGTAGGTAACGATGACTGTATTTGTGGTTATAATATTACATAATAATAAATTTCATAAATCAGTGACTTATAATATTATAACCACCGTGGTTATAATATTATATAATAATAGATCTCATAAATATATATATACGTAAATTATCGATTTAAATCAAGATTTTAAATAATTTTTACGCAAAAAATATTGGGAAAAAAAATAAAAATAGAGAAAATAATGTTTTGCCATTTCTTTTATAATATACGTAAATATTTAATCGCCTAAAAGTATCTGTGAAACGATAATTCACATTACGCAAACGTCAGAAAGTTTGATTTCGCGGAAATCGACACAATTATGTCATTAACGCATTTTTTGTCATAGTTTACCTCGAAACCTATTATTATAGATACTGCACATCACATCTTAAATTTAAAATTCTTAATTCTTTACATCCATCATCTCGAGGTCGATTAATCTCATATACATTCAAGATTGAAAATTCGTTATGAAACGTGGTAAACGGATTTTGATTAATTTTTACGGATTATTTATCATTTAAAAAAAGAGTATTTTTTTTTAAAAACAGTGTCTTTTTTAAAACAGTATTTTTTTCCGGATCTTAATATCTTATTCGTAACGTTTATAACTTCATTTACGAGGAGGTTAAACTTCGCTTAAACATCATAAAAAAATGATTTATCATAATCATAAATATTCATGGGCAGAACAATCAGTTTCTTTGACAACATTCTTTTCATTCGAGAAAAAGTTTTTTTTAGCGATGTTCCGATTGTCTAAAAGAATACTTGCACAGAATTCTCATAAGTCATTAAAATGCAAAATATAAAATTCAAGTACGACGAACCTCTTTCCGTTTTCTACGCATTCGGATGCTGCCATCTTTGTGGCTCGATCCTTTTGCGATTCAATCTTCGGGTCTTTAGAGCACGTGAGTCGCTTGCGGTTTCACGCGTATCAGATTCTCCGTTGCATATCGAAGGAAGGACGGCGGTGTTGGTGCAAGGATGACCTCCTTTCGAAGCAGAACAATGTAAAATTAGATTCTTGTATAAAGTCACTGATTTCGTTTCTCGCGTAAAAGCGCTTAAACTTATAACGCGTGAGGAAAGAATCGCAAGCAGAAGGAGCAGAAGAAAATCGCGCAATCGCAAGCTTTGTTGTACAAAGTTACATAAAGAATCGTAAAAGTTCAGTGAGCCGAATACATGCTTGGCGCGTTGTAGCCTCAATATCTGTGTTTAAATTTGATAAGCGTACGATTTTGAAAAGTATACAAGAAATGCCATTTGCACGTAAATGATACGTTAGAGATTAAAAAGTAGCTAGATCAAGAAACATTAATAGGAACTTATTTTGCGAATTTGTGTAATCTTTGGAATAAAATTTCTAGCAGAGCAGATGATCTATTATTGATTTTATTTTTATTTTAATTTATTTTATTTTATTTTTATTTATTTTATTTTATTTTATTTTAATTACTTATTATTATGTAATGAATAATAATATATATGTAATAAAGTTTTAATATATATTTAAGATATATAAATATATTTTAAAAAACTCATAGATAGTTCAAATCATTACGAAATATCTTGTATCCATAAAGAAATTTAATGACTCAATATATATTACATTAAGATCTCATATAGAGGGCAACTTTTCTTTTATATATCTTGATGCACATCTACTTGTCATACAAAATTCTTTCACTCGGAAAGAGTTTGGTTGTGATTGATGATTTTCATACTTACTTGATTGCAAGCGTCCTGACAAAGCACTAACAATTCTTCCGCTTCTTCCACTTCGCGGAAAATCAGTCAGCTTTCTTGTAATTTCATGATACTGAATGAAACAAATATTTTTTTATAGCTTAACGTTACTTTATCAAATTCAAGTTTTCCAAGTTATTCAAGTCGATTCAAGTCATCGTGTTAAAAATGCCAGAAGTATAAAAACGTTCTGACATATTATACTTGATAGTATATTTGTGATAAGGCTTCTTATAATTTGTTAGATTAAGAAAGGAATATTTTTTATGCTTACAACTTTTGCAATTTTTGAAATTTTTCTTTGTTAGCAGTCATTTTTCTTTATTGCAGTCAAATGCGATTTGACGAAGGTCATAGTAAGATAATTGAGAAGCTCGCTGGCTATTAGAACATTAATAGTAGTTAGTAGTTCAACATTTTTGTTCTATTGTAATACTCGCTTCGTCTTTTATATTTGTCATATAAGGAGTTACAGTAGAAATTTCTTTTTTCGATGATAATCTAAAATATTTATCATTATGATAAGTTAATTTTTTGAAAATACACACCTTTAACATATGTATATACGTATATTGATATGGCTCATTAACAAGAAGAAAATAGCCAAAAGAATTCTAAATATGACATTCTCGTTTAAAAATTAATTTATAATTATGTCGAAAAAAATTTTACTTTCACTGAAGAGAATATCGATTCGTAAATCAAGTTTCGCAAAGAAGTTTAAAAAATTATCGGCCAATTGCACTTTTTTTTCTCTTCTACCCTCGTTTCTTTAAATCTTTAATAAAATCTTTAATAAAAAAATTATTCTCATAGTGGCAATAGATTTTAAAGGTCTCTTTCTGGATTTTCTCTGTCTTTAAAACAAATTTCTCTCGCATTAGCCGATCCAAAAACGCGAGAGAAAAGAGAGAAAAATCGTTCACTGAGAAAACTGCAGTGTCTTGTCGCGAAGCGAGGAATTTCGTGTCGTTCGCAGGGAAAATAATCCGAAAGATTCCACCCGAGAAGAAACCACGGTCGAACTGGAAAGTAGGTAGAAAATAGTGAAGAGATTGCCGGTTTACATTAGATCGGAACGTCGCGACGGACTAAACATTGCGCGACGCGAAAGCCACGAGCAAGCTGTACTTTCAATTTTGAGCTCCCTCCTTCGACATCTACCTTCCAACGGAGATTGACGTTGAATCGGTACATACGCGTTCATACGTATGACCTCTTCTCTTCCCTTCTCCGGTCATTTTGTCGTAATTATACCCACCATATCCACCGTACACGCTACGAGCGACTGTCAGGACAACGCGAGAGGATTGATTTTATAAAATTTACTTGAATTAACGTTTATTTAAGAAAATTGATGATATTTTGCACTTTACGTCCCTAAAAAAATACAGAATTTTTTCCTTTATACAATTTGTCACGTAACGTGACAACCATTTTATTCACGCACGAATGTCACGCAAACATTTTGTTCAATTAACTTAAATATTATCTTAAATAAGAATTATACTTAAACAAGAATTTTCCAAAGTTTTTTTTAACATTATTCTGCAAATTCTGACACGTGTAGATAAATTTTATTTATAATTTTTATTTTTTTGCGAAGAAGTTTTCTGCGAATTTCATTTGTTAATTACATTAAGTAATTATTTCATCTGTGTTCATGTATATTGAAAGGAATATTAAAAAATATTAGTTATGTATGCGACAAATAAAAAAAAAGAAATGAATAAAAATATGAATATAGCGTGCATATATAACATAGATAAAAAATGATTATTTCGAATCCTGCAGTTTCAAGAGCAAAGGAAATAAAAAAAAGGAGTTCTTTTTAAAAAGACATAATGTAACTTAACGTGACATTCTTCTGCTTTCCTTGAATATGCTTTTCTAGAGAAAAATTACAAGCAATGTGTATGTGCATTATTACGTCTGTTCATTACTATAGAGATTGAAAAGTGATGGCTAATGTCTCGCCACATGGGTACCGTTGCGAAACGATAATAACATGCCGCTATGCGTCCCACATTGTATTATTCTTCACAATTTGTGTGTAACGCTATGTTTGAAAATTCTTCTAGGAAATATTTTAATTTTAATTTGGCGTCAACAAAAAAGTCAATTATAGATAAATAATTTTAATTATTATTTTCTTAGGTTTTTTGTTTTTCATTAATTTTGCTTGGTTTTTTGTTTTTCATTAACTTTCCCTATTTCTTTTGTTTTTTCAGTGTTTTTCTTTCACATATGTGATTAACAACTTGTAATTATATTGTGGTTATTGTTCTCTTTTTCTCTTTCTTCTTTTTAACTAAGTTGCTTGTTTTATATAGAGTATAAGAGTATAATTGTGTGACTGATATTTTATTTCAGTGGGAGATCAATTTTCAATGAAATGTGCAAATATGTACTTTTTGCTCGCGAATAAATATGAAGATCATTTTTCAATATTTAATGGTCGAAATATGAAACTAAATGTTGAAAATGCTTCTTTTCTCGCTTATCTGCTTACACATTGCTGTTATAATTACGCAAGAAAAAACAAGTTGTTTTTCTCTTAGAAAATATTAGTCATACATTATTTATCTCACGAGAAATTTAATGATTGGCACATTATTTTTTCACAAACATAATAAGAAAAGGGACGGAATTTTAAAGATTATGTTAATGCTGATCATTATCATCATATTGTCTAATCGCGGATTACAGCTGTTATTTCAAGTGTCATCGAACTTTTAATTCATATTATCATTTTTTTTTCACTTCGAATAGCTAGAATAGATTAAGATTACTGATTTATATAATATTAATTAGCGACAATTACAGAAAGTTTGCATGCATGTCTGATTAATCATAGTATATATAACAATATCGTAAGGACTGCTTATAAATTATCTTTTTTAGCCTAGTTTTTTTTTTTATAAAAGTCGAGAGCAAAATATGCAATTTTTTATCGTACTTAATGCTGTTTATATTTGTAAATTTACCTGTCTCTTTCTTTGAATATATAGAGAGAAAAGATTTTAAGCGCGATTGCAGTTGCATTTGTCGATAAATTAAAGATATTTATAAGATTCATATTGCGTCAACTCTAAATAACAATGTATTTACGATACATTATATCATCTGGATAGTAGATGCATATTAATCCAAGGAAAGCTTATTTTAAAAAGATCTTAAGAGAGTATTGATTATTCTTTATATTATAGCGCATATTTTTCTTTTTAATTTAGCATGCTGTTAATAATATACAACCAGGAACTATCCAAAGGCTCAAGATTACAGACGATGATAAATCATCTCGGTAAAGGTCTGTAATAATAAGACGAATGAAACGAATATCTACCATCCATTAAATATGACAATTTATTAAGAACAATATATTCTGCATACGATCGACATAAAAATTTGCATTAAATTAATTAAATAAATATAGGAGCACGCACATATTTAATCGTTAGCCAGATAATAGTTGTTACTAGGAGCGTATTTTATTACTATAGTATTTATCATTACAGGGATTATTATACGGATGTTCGATAAATCGTTGCGATTCGTAACAATTAATGTTTCTATCGCGGCTAATTTTTACAAACAGTTATATCTTAATAGAATATAGAAACACGCATTTATATATATATATGTATTTAAGACTATTTGTCTCGAAAACTATATCAAAATATTTATTTTATCGTTACTTTTTTTTCATGAGAGAAATCGCTCTCTCATCACGATTTATCGAACATCCTTTTCTTTTTCTTCGTTTATTTTTTATCAGTATAAAGTCGAGTCTCGCAAGTGATGTTTGCGATATAGAAAGTTGCTTAGGAAATATATATGTATATATGTGTATGAATGTGTGTGTGTATATATATATATATATATATATAGCAACATATATATATATATATATATATATATATATATATATATATATATATATATGCTGTCTTTCCTTCTCTTGGCGGTTGCAGATTCGTTCTCTCGGATAGAGAGTATTAAAAAATAAAGAATTTATTAATAAGAATTACTGAGTACAATCAGTCTAACTTTATTAACTCGCGAAAATAGCATATGGATAATTTGATTCATATTGTAAATGATTATCATTTTATTAATTATATATCTTTTTAGTGTATATTTGTTTTAGCTGAATTTCTCACACTTTCCATTTTTCTTTTTTCAACTTCTAAATACCACATCCATCTAATTAGGTTTCATTTCAATTTAGTTAAAAAACCAAATCTGTCATATATAATACATTACTTAAACAAAATCAAGAGAGAAATATGTGCATTTTCACAATGTGATATTTGCATTATTATCCGATATGCCAATATTCTCGAATTAATTTTCATTTGCTCATATTTGCCTTTGAGAGCATCGCATCCTATTGAAAGGAGATCGATGTACATTTATTTTAATAAGTTGATTATCCCTTTATATATAAGACAAGCAAAATCTATTATATTCTATAAGTCTACTTATTCGCAAGAAAATAATATAACATATAGCGAATCGAAACAGCATATACTCAAAGAACTATGTTTTTTTATTATATACGCTCCTCTATAAATCAGCTGCCATATTAAGTAAAGCAAGTAAAGAAGCAGATCCTTTTCTCGTATACATATCAACGTAATACATTATTACAATAACACACATAAACACAGTTAGGTAAAATAAAAGCGCAATGTTATTTTATTCAAATTGATGTTCCACTTTAAGAAATGTGTTTAAAATTAAATATAAAACAATGCAATAATATTAAAAAAATATTCAATTAATATCATTTAGAAATAGATTATTTCAATTAGAATCAATTAAAAATATATTCACAAATAACTCATATGTGTGTAATTATACACACACACGCACATATATATATATATATATATATATATATATATATATATATATATAAAACTCCAATCCCCTGAAATAAATTAATCATAGATGATAACATCAATTAGTATTAAATAACATTATAATTATAGTCTTTTTTTAAATTTTTAAAGTAATCTATATACATACATACATACAAACATACATATATATATATATATATATATATATATATATGTACTATATATACTATATATATCATATAATAATAAATATATAGATTTATTTTTTCGTTATATTAATTATTTACTCATATTTAATTAATATTCAATTTTTGCTTGTAAAGATGAAAATGACGGATACTATAAAGGCACTTTTAAAACTTTGATGTGTATAACAATAGTTATTTCATTTTCACCCATACAATAATATTTATATTCATGATTCAGAGTTAAATTTTGGATTCCAATTATAATTACAATGATAGTCGTTGAACTGACATTATTTGATAATTGGAAAAATCATGCAATTAATTTCCGTGTAATTTCAAAATCGATATTTAATTGAATTTTATTAAAATGAATAGAATATTGTCATATTTCAAACTATCAGAAACTTACAACTACTTGTCACAGACATTTAGTTATAATTATCAACTCATAACTAGAATGTCTTATTTCTTACATCTATGCATTAGAGAACAACATTGGTTTTACAAATGCATGTATGTTACTTATAATAAAAACATAAAAAAATAGAGAATACAAAAAGCGCTTTTATATTATATAACAAAAATTAATAAGCATTTCAAAATGAAACACAGCCACTATGCATGTTATAAAATACTAATGAAGAGATATTATAATTGTCTCAAAAATTATAATATTGAGTGTAGGATTTTAAATTATTTCTTTGTAATTTAATTAAATAAAAAAAATTTAAATAGAACATATGCTACATATAGTATAATCTTCATTTCTTTAATTTTCTTACACAATTGGTGTTTATAGATATCATTAGTATCGATAATTCGCTATAAAAATCAAAGAAAATGTGATTATATATTTTATCGGATAAAAAATATATGCTTTTGTAATCGTCTGTATTACGATTATACGAAAATCGTGCACTCTAAAATGGCCACAGTGTAGTTAAAAACATAAACTTACATCGAAAATATATGTCGCTCTTTAAAATACCACGATATATATGTTGTATAAAAATCTATAATTTTCTAAAAGCTAAAGACTATAAACAACGTAAGACACTTTTTCTTTGAATAATGCTAGATAAAGAAAAACAGCTATGTACACCTGCGTATATAGAGAATTTAGTCGAGCTTATCAGAAACCAATGGAAATCTAACTATTCGCAATTGCCGACCATAGTCGCAAACTACGCTATCCCTCAAAGCCAACATCTGCTTTACAAAAATGCAACTATCTTTATGACCCAATCTCACTTCTCGCACAGGCTCACCCGTCCTTACGTCCCAAACTACTAATGATCCCTGGAATAATTTAGATTCAAATTGAGATTTATAGTTTTGCAATCGCAAAAATATAAACATTCCAAAGAGTATTACCTGATTACTAGTTATGAGGAGATGATGTGTCAGCATCACTAATTGTAAACTGTAAGCTGCTTTGTGTGCTGGCAAAGTGTGTAATAAGTGCCCCTGAAAACGTTCCCAGACACATAGTCTTTCATCTGTTCCAATACTTATCACATACGATACCGAACATGTAATAGCAGCTACAGCACCAGCGTGAGCTTGAATACTATACATGCAAGTCCCTATAAAAAGAACCAAAAAAACATCATGAAGCAAAAATATATAGAAATTAATAAATTATAAATTTTGTTTTTATTGACATTAATGATACTACCTGTCAAAAGATCCCACACACAGAGTAACCCATCCTGAGATCCACTACCGGATGTCATAGGACTGAATCTATCGATAAACAAGCATGATATCGGACCGCAATGTCCATGAAGCGTGTACAGAGGCAGTTGATCCTCTAACCTAGATGAGAAAAATATATTTACATGTAGACGATTGGAAAGAACAGACCAGATCGTATATTCAAATTTATATACCTGTATACTTTCAAGGTATGATCCTGGCTACCCGTTAATACACGTCCACCTTCGCTGTCCAGGACGGTAATTGCTTGTTGATGCGCTCTATGAGAGCCAATTTTCATGCAGCGCAAATCTTCCTCTGTATGCATACTGTTATTTAAGTCCATGGGTGAACCAGCGCTGCCTGTTCGCACATGTGCTAAAATAACAAATTAATTAGAATATAAAAGAATTTATTTCAATAAAGAAAGTCATTTATAGCATTTTCTATTCGTAATACGAGAAATATGTATTATATAGTATACAAACAAATCTCTGCCATATTTTAAAATCTACTTACTTCTTCTATAGGATGTGAAGCCCCAATCAATCTGCTGGCCTTCGCTGTAACTCTCAAGTTGCAAAAAATCGACAGTTCCATTCAATTTAGCTGCTACTACTCTACTACCGACGAGTTTAACGGCAGAAATTCCAAGGCCCGACCCATCATCGAAGAGACACTGCGAATTAAGAAGGAAAATGTAATTGACTAATTTTTATCTATTAGATACGTTTGCTTTTCGCGTCTCACCTTAAATCTACCGGTCGTACCCTCCCAGAATTCTAAACTGCCGTTAGCACACCCAACCACTATGAGATTTTCCTGATAATCCATACACCAAATCGCCGATGCAACATGCGACGATTGTATCGTGCGATCTGTATTTATGGAGGTCGTACTGCCAACTGAGTTATTTAATTTTGCGGGGGGAATGTTTAACTGTTCCCTAGTTTCAGATTTTTGCATTTCCTCAATCGATTTATTATGTTCCTGTAATAAAATTTTATATCGCTCGCCAAAATCGAAACCTTGATCGTAGCTCTTTTGCAAGGGCATGTATCTTATGGTTGAGAATTTAGTATTGATCGCTGGTTTCAAATCAGGGAGATCGTAAGCACTGCCTAAGCTTCGACGTAACAACTTCTGCTTAGTGTCGTTTTCAGTGATTTGATAATCATAATCTAGAGTATTTCCTATAGATCGCCTTTTATGGTTGTTATTAATAATCTTTTGCATGTTGTAGGCGGGAGATAGCTTTGCCTGATACATCGCCGAGGCTGGTGAGTAAAGTCCCATCGATTGCGCAGTTTCCATTTCTCCTCTGGAAGGCGGCGAACCGCTCTCATAATCCGACATCAGTTCATCAGCATCCGTTTGGCTTAAAGTTTTCTGCGGACCGATGAAGAATTGTCGTCTATCTATATGCGCCATCTCCTCGCCAGACGTCGAATCCCACACTCTGATATGTCCCGCTAGACATGTGCTAGCAATAGTATTACCATCCGTCGCGATACATTCGACTTCCTGAGTATGGCCTTCCAAAACTAAAGGCACTGCCTCTAGCACGAGTTGAGTAACGGAATCGTGCGTCTTTTCTTGCTTGTTCCAGCTAGCTCGCCACTCAGCGTAATTTCTAGAGCAAATACAACGATAGAGTACGACCATTGTGTAAGCGACCACAATCACACTAATGAGACATAATACAGCGGCTAAAAATATTTCCATCGGACTCGACGGTACAAAAGGCGTATCCGTATTAAATACGCGTCCCTCCGATCTCGACCGTACTTCCATATCTAGAAAATAAAGATAAGTGTTTGATAATTTTGTTGTGTCTGGCACGTGATTAACGATTTTATATGTAATGATTGACTCTGTGTGATTGACTTTTTATTAATTTATACAAACCGGAAAAATCCAAAGGATCGAGAGCGGCAGTAGCAAGACTTTGCCATTGAAAGTGTTGGACGTCATTCGGATTGCTTATTTGTTTCACCAATTGCGGATTTACCGCATGCGATAGCTTTATCGTCGGAAGTATAGTTACTCGTCCACCGGCAATTGATACGTTGTACATTGAAAGAATCGAGGACCAATGATACAATGATAAGCTATTCCAAGGCGGAAAGTCCACTGGTCTTAACTTGTTTAATTCCTCGGTCGTATTATTAGTTACATCCTGAAAAAGATATTTTTTTAAATATATAGACAATTATAGGAACAAGGAATAATATCGTAAAGAAAAAAGAATTTACCTGTTCATTCAAATTATCTGATGTTATAGTTGCAGGTGATACGGATATTGGTGTCACTGTATTTACTTCAACATAGTTATTCAACGATTGAGGTTTATCTATCGTATATCCATCAATATCAGCTTCTGGTTTTAATGTTTCACTCAAATGTATCACATGCTCAATAATGCCGGAATTGTTTATAGTCATGCTGATCCATACGACCATCCATACCATGAATGCACGTTGGAAGATTCGCGTTCGCGCCCAAAAGTGCACCAACCTCAAACGTTTGGGAATCTTGCCCAGAGTATGAGTATTTTGTGTATTTGGAGCGATAACGTTTGTCGGACCAGTGGATAGACCGTTCAATCTCGGATGAGATTTAGAGCGGAAGATGTGAGGCTTTCTATTAGTAATAGTAGTCGTGAACTGTTGTCTGCGTGATGTAGGGATATGCGACAAGTGAAACTTGGAATTGTCGCTAGATAGCTCCGTACGTCTGATATCGAGCGCAAGAATGGTCGAGAAGAATACCATTTGTAAGAAGAAGTCACTCAATAGTCCAACGATAGCGAATATGCAAAATTCCTGAATAGCAGGAACAAACGTGAACAGCCCGATAGTTAGAATCGTTACCTCCGTAAGTAGATTCTTCGTAATGGACCATCCCTCCTTCGATAGAGCTTGAGCGACGCGTATTTTCATGTCCAGATGCGCGGGCGTGCTAACGACACTTTTTGTCAATACCTGAACGTTTTCAAGACCGAAAATAATCACCAAATACGGAAACACTTCTTTGGCGCTCAAACTGAGAGTCAAACCGAAGAAGAAGCACACACCCACTGTCATAGATAGCGAGCCCATCACTGTCACAGTGGCACTAAATGCAATGCCGAATTTAGACTTGATGAGTTCTATTTTCCGCACTTGAAAATATTCGTAGAAAAATAAGGCCAGGAAGGTCATCATTAGTGGAAAAAATTCACTATAGTTGAATTCACCGGGATAGAAAATATTCAATACTTCATCGTGCGCATCAATGTCTGTGTTGTTGTCAACATTTTGATGCAGATGATAATAAGTTTTTAATCGATGCTGCAATCCTTTTATAAATCTGAAAACAAATAAAATGTACATTACTATACATCAATGTCTATTTCTCATCAGTCGAAATTGTATTTTGTAAATATTTACTCTTGATCATATTTCTTTAAATAAATGGTTACAGCATATTGGAGAATTCTCTGACGAATCCGAGCAGGATATCTTTTCACTCCCGTTTCTTTCAGGCTCATCCCAAACATTACTTCTGCAAGACTTATTTTACCTCTCTGAAGATTCTGCGATATAAACAGAAATGTAAAAACAAATTAAGAAATTTTATTATGTAATAAAGATAAGACTAAATTCATTGCCTAATTAAAAGATCTTTTTTCATCATCATATTCTTATATTATATAATAAAGATAAAGCTAAATTAACCATATTTTTATTATAAGAATATCAAGATAAAACAAAAGACTTTTATTTGTTGCACGACACATAATATTAAGAAATAATGAATATAATTATTGTTTACAAGGCTACTGTTACTTTACATAGACTAATTTTTCATTAGAGTTTATATCGCAATATTACATTTACCTGATAAGAAAATATTGTATTAATAAGATTTGTATCTTGGGCAAACAATTCCATGCTTTGTTGCCACAGATTTGCAGGCGATAAAACAAGACAATTGTATTCCGGTAACACTTCTGCTTTCTTGCCATTTCGTCTTTTTGCTGCTTCAATATGTAGACATACTTGGCCGAGTGTTTTGAATCTAAAAAAGGCAGATATTTTATTCTTTTTTTTTTTTGCTTTTATCTTGTATCGTTATTTGCATTATTATTTAACATAGATTATCAACTCCTCGAATAGATAATAAAATTATACAAATAAAGTATTTTACTCACGTTTCTGGGTGTTGAAAGTTTTGTATGATCTCCAAGAGATTGAACACTTCGTAGAGAGGCCCTCGAAAGGCATCCATCAGCGTCAGATCTTCATTCCATGGCATTACTCCGACTCTTAGCACTACTTGTTGGACGTACAATACTGAAGTTTCCGTGCCATTTGCTGGTACGATGGTGTCGTTTATTACAGTTTTCGGAGCATTGCCAGGCATGGGCAGATTGACGAGTGGAAAACTACAGCGACACAAAACAGCAAGTTTTAATCCAGCTCCAGGCTCGAGGAACGAATGAGTCGACATCAACTGCGAGCTACTTACCAGCAAAATAGCAAAACTGAGATAGCGAGCGAGAGTACGATGACTGGATGAGATGAGCAGAATAGGCCGTGGGCATAGTAGAGCCCAGCCACTCTGTCTGGCAAACTGCGAGACATTTTACCTAAGTTTGCCTCCTACACGACATAATCCGCTGATTTGCAGACGATCATTACCGTTCATAACTGACCTTGGCAATACAATAAAAGCGTTTCATATCGGGAGACCGCAAACATGATAAACACAGTATTTTTGCAGCACGTTAACGAGACTGTTTTTAGGAAAACAAAACAAAAAGAGACGAAGAAGCGCGTGTTTTTCTTCGGTTATCACTGTCATTACGCAATTGACATAAATCGTTTAATGCGTTGTCGACCGGACGCTGCTTCGATAGCGATAACGATAACGCGGTAAAGAGATACGTTCTCCACGCGGATGGTTATTACATTACATTACATTACAGGCGTCGACTTACACCATTTCCTAACCATCTCGCTTCATCGTCGGCGTTTCGTGCCCTCCAGGAAGAAGAGGAAGCTCGACGTAGATCCGATAAAGTCAGATAATACCGATGGATCCCACTCGTAAATTCCCGTCGATTTTGGTCTCTTTATTTATACTTCCCTCTTTCTCTCAGCCTCGCGACTCGCGAGGAACAGTCGGAGCGAACGAGCACGAATAGACGCGCAAAAACGAGAACCGGCGAAGAAGAAAAAAAAAGAAACAAAGGAAGAAACTACGAGGCCCGCGAATGATCGTATAGGTTATGTCGCGCGGTTTTTCTTTTTCTACGGCGTATTTAGAGGTTACGCGCGGCCAGCATCACTGAACTGGGGGATCGATTACGCGATGTGCTTTTACGCGATTTGCTGCTCTCGCACGTGTCGGGGAGACGCGTCGCGTCATCTCTCTCCCACGTAATTCGAGCGCGCGGCGAAAATCCTAGCGAGGAATAAAATCAGCAAAATTACCATGATCGCAACGTGCGCGACGACAGCGTTATGTCAGCTGTACCCGAATGTAGCTGTATATGCGCCCGGTGCGTGCGTGCGCGCGCGCGCGGGGCTATTCCGCATGCATATTCATTGCGAATAGAGTCGTGGACGCGTAAAAAGTCCCATCACGTCGCTCGCCTCGATCCCCGGAGGACACTGGTCGATTCGCGATTCGCGCTCGCACGGGCGTTAATTTATTTTTAATCGCGCGAATGGGTTCCTCGCGCGCCCGGTCGAGCCCCCGACCGCGAGCCAATCGCAGGTGCGCAAGAGCGGCGCGCACGTGGCCCCGAAATCAAAAAGAAAAAGGTACGTACGTGGAAATGCGCAAAAACATGGAGCGCGCGCGCGCGTGACGAAGCGGTGGCGAGCGAGTTGCGTAAACTAACCGTGACAAGTACGTATCGGCCACGCATATATGTCGTGCAAAAACTAATCCACGATTCGATCGCATGCATAATCGAAAATACGGACGGATGGAAAAGTTTACATAATGTATAAGAGAGTAGTATATTTGTGCGAATTCGAAATCTTCGTCCTCGCAAAGATATGGTAATCAAAGACTCTTCTAACGACACATTTATAAAGCCTTTAATAAATTTCTGTGCTAAAATTATATGAATTTTTAATCGAGAAGCGATATCTTTTTATGAAGTCAATTTTTGAAGAATGTGAATTTAAAGAATCGAAAAAGAATGCAAAATAAAATCGATAAGAAAAAACAAATTTCAATTGTAAAATTTCACAGTTAAAATTCTATTCTTTCCTATTACTATTTATGATTTTATTATACTTCTAAGTTTAATGTTAGACATATTTTTTCAGATTTAATGGCTGGTGATAAACAAACTTCAAAAAGAAATCTCGAATTAAAATTGAAAGAACTTGAATTGCAAATTGAATTCCAAACAACTCTGGTAAGATCAAATATCAAAAATTATACTTTTAAATTATGATAGAAAAATGTTTCAATATTATATTCACAAGATATCTTTTACTATCGTTTTATTAATCGTTATTTTTACGAGCTTAAATTTTATTAATATTTTATTTCCTTTCTCTTTAAAATTTTCGAGTTTCTTCTAGTATTTTATATCTTCTTTGCTTTCATAAATAGTAGAAATTATAAAAATGCGAATCTCTCTTCTCTCGTTTAAAGGTGCAATTTCATTGACGCTAAAAAGTAGCGTCAACCATTGGTTGAACAAAGAAATAAGTAATTGCTTCATTGTTTAACCAATGGTTGACGCTACTTTTTAGCGTCAATGAAATTGCACCTTGAAATTAGAATACATCAACGTTAAGATATGTTAATGAATTTTTTTGCACTTTTTTTGCTTTCTATGACGCATTTCAACAATAATATATATTTACGTGGTGCTTAAGCGCAAGGTCACATATAAAATGCGTAATTCGAATCCCGATCATGTTAATAAAGCAGCCTAAGTTCCGTGCGAATACTTTCATTTTCTTCTTCTTCTTCTTGGCTTTACACGCTGCAAGCGAGCTTTATTTGATGCAGTCGCGGTCGGGCGCGTCTCGCCTATTATTCTGCGATTGACGTGTCTAATTGCATCAATTGCGTAATAAATAGAAATTAGACTGCTCTACAAATGGCCAAGTATCGTTCAGAGGTCAATCGTCTGCACGCAATTTTACAGCTCGCATCGATACACACTGAAAACTTTGAAAAGAGATATCGGACATTATTAGATCAATGTTAACATGACATAATTATATTCTTGATTTTATAGTCTTTTTTTTCTCAAGAAAAATCATTTACGAAAATATATTTGCAGGATTTAGTCACGTTATACGTTAGTGGAATTGCTATATCACTATAAAATTGTTAAAATGATGACAAAAGCAATATTTACATTTGATACAAGTGTACATGATAAAAGTGTGCTTGATCAGAGCTTTATAAATAGCTATACATTATCGATATCTGTAGTGAATATAAATAGAAATTGAAATTAAGTACATTTATAAAATTAAAATAATCGATACTTTATTTTTATATGGACCTACGAATAATATAAGAAAACATTTTTAATTCATTAATAGTTAATAATATATTTGATAGAAGAGCGTCGCAAATTTTAAATTTAAAATTTTAAGTTCTTTTCCATTTTTACATCAAATGCGGGTATGTTCTATGTTCTATGCCCGATCCTCGATTATAAATTTATTTGGCTTTTAGCAAGTCGAGTGTTTCATTACGTAGAAAAAAAAGTGTACTTTATTCTGTCTATATTTGTGTAATTTGCATAGAATTTTCTGAGGAGATACGTACTAAATAATTAACGAAGCGAGTTGAATAAATAATTAAAAATAATATTAGCGGTATGGCATGTTTACATGCTTGTCAATGTCGTGTATTACTAATACTGTTGACTGAATCTGCAAAGAATATTTTAGCTATACAATGAATTTTCATCTGAGGACATGTAAAAAGACATCTCTAAAAGACAAATATATAAATGCATTTTATTGTCCGTTATCGATGATATTCATATTTTTTTATAATTACTATTTTTTACGGAAATGAATGATAAATTGATATGTATAAAAATAATAAAAATTGATAATATTTTAAGAAAGACTAATAATTTTCATATTTTTAAAACAATATATAAAATATGATGAATGAAAATTCGTTATCCAGAAGTAGAATCGTCTTTCTTAAAATGATAGTAATTATCGACAATAATATAATAGCATCGAAATCACAAATGCATTGTTTCGATGATTGCATAACTATACGTGTTGTCGTTCAGACACTTTATATAATACATCTTGGCAAATCTATTGAACAGTATATATATTTAGAAAATACATACATATCACACACGCAAGATTACAACCCAGGTAACAAAATGACGCCTTCAGACGTCTTAATGACGTACAATGATGTCATTAAAACATTATTAAGATGTCATTTGACATCACTCTGCTACCTGGGAATTTTCTATCAAATTTTAGACATTTGACTTTTAATTTCAAAATCATCATTTTTCTCGTAATTGGACATTCCTTTCATTGAAATACATTCATATACATTAATTACATTTTATAAACGGCCAAGTAATAATAATAAAGTGCTATTATTAATTCAATTCTATATTCAATTTTATATTAATTTTACCGACTTTTAATATGAGATAATTAGTATGATATTTAATATGTAAAAATTCCACACAAAATTCATAGAAAGTAATATCTCATTAAATTTAAATATAAAGTAATAATTTGAGAAAAAAATTTCTACATGATTTTTTAATAAAATTTTTTTCTGAAAATGTTAACTTAAAAACTTAAAAAAATTCACACATCCTATATGCATATATCTAAATTATGTCAAAATCCTTCGCGTTAATTAATCACATTCAAACCATATACATTATGTTAAACGATTATGTGCAACGTTGTAATTTTACGTTTATCGTCCAAGTCCTCGAGGTATCTCATCTCTGGCTTTCATTATAATGGTAAACCAGTAAAATTTTATATCGCTTTCTCAGCAAAGTCTCGTGCTCGGATAACGGAGGCGATATCCGCCTTCCGGAGCACAGACGTTTAGACGAAATGGGGTTTATAATAAAATCGCTCCGATAAATATTAATGATATCGATAACATTATGCGCCGGCTGTTGTTATTTAGTAGAGGCCATGATGACTCCTCCTCATTCGCTCCGTTGATGAAATCGATATCCTCAGTTAGCTCGTAATTCAGATTTAATCCTTGACTTCAAATTTCTTCTCAGTTTAAACAAGCCCTATGCATTTTTATATTTTATATTAAAAAATATATCAGCCAATATACAACATTTTGAAAAAATAAATTTCTAATCTAAAATAAAAAAAATTATTGTACTTTCGAGTTAGATGCATAATCTTTTCTCATCATGTTTTTAAATTCACTTTAGTTAGATTCACTTTTAGTTATTATTTTTAGATATTATTATTTATATATATTTTAGATATATTATTTTTTATATTATATATTACTTATTTCATATTTGTAATTTAATTATTCTTCGACGAAAAATACTTTTTCCTAACGTTAAAAAATTGTAACTGACGATTCCTATAGAAAAGATTTTTTACCACAAATATAAAAATTTCTTGTGTTAAATTCAAGATTCGGGATATGTTTCCAATCATTCCCTCTGGAGATATTAATCTTATATTAATTCTAAGATGAGAGAACAATCTTTTTCTGGAAACTCACCTTCTACAATGACGCATCTGTCTTCCCTCTGATTTCCTCCGACTTTTGGTCGAAAAATCTTTTCTCTTCGCTTACGTATATTCGACTCGCGTTCGTCCCTTCGCTCTCGCACGTCTTCCTAATCGAAATTGATGCAACGGCGTCTCCGAGAGAGATGATGGATGGCCTGCCGTCTCCTAAACAGCGATTCGAGAAGCAGTCCTTGCAAATTATTTTTCTAGCTTGGAGAGAAACAGGAGTTTCGGAGTTTTAGACTCTCTCTCTAGAAAGAGCGAGAACTTTTAATCTTTCAGATATTTTCTAAAGTTTTGAAAGTTAAAAGGGGGAAAAAGCGTACTTATAATACTTCTGGCATTCATTAATAACATTTTCTAGTTGCCGTCCAACAGATTCTTTAGCAAGAGGCGGGAAAACAAGTCGAACTTCAAACTTGTCCGTGGCTAATATTTATGGAAAGATTCGCCGACATTGGAAATACTTTGCGGGGAATTCGATTTAAAAAATACCTCGTGGCGAGCTTAATTTCCTGTCCGTAGAATCGGCTCGTGGAAGATCGATGCGGCGCGGTAAGGGGCCGCGATATTACGAAACCGCCTTCAGAAGTTTGATAAGCTTCGGAGAGCTCGACGCTTGATGGAGTAGACTTATATGTCTTCGGCATTTTGCAACGATTCCACTCAACGAAACAGCACGTATGTCTCTATTCGCTTCTCGGAAACGAGGATAGGCGAGATAGTGTCGGTGGCTGGATGGTTCGTTTATCGTGCGACCAGAATGGCAATTTATCTTACTGGCAAGACGGACCGAAGGTACCGACTCTCTTGGATATAAATGACGTTGCTTCTCGCGAAGATCTTCGGAATTTCGCGACAGAGATAGAGGCTGGAAAATCTGCTGTTCCCATGTAAACGATATCGCGTTGAAATACATTTTCAATTTCTCGTATATTAAGAGTCCGCGAGTTTTTTTTGGCTTATGACGTATGCTGAAGTATAATATATTTTCAATTTTCTAAGGCATCTTGAGAATGCGCGTCTTGGATCTTTGAAACGAGGAAAATTACACGCAGGAGTCTCGCGACTTACGCGTCCACGTCCGGTAACTTTTACTTAATTCAATTGCAAGAGAAGTTGTGAAAATTGTGCGAACACTAACTCAATACAAAGTTAAATTGTTGAAACGAATTTTCAATCTAATCACGGAGAAAATTAAGTTAAATATCGCGGAAATAAATTCTGTAATAAATAAGAGAATATAAATATTATTATCTCTCTATAAAAATTATCTCTCAGCAAAAATTTTCAACCAGAAGAACGATCATTATTTTTCTTAAAATGTGTGACTAAAAGCTATTTATAATTTTTACGTAAAAGAAATTATTACAACGAATATAGAAATGAATCACAAAGAGATATCATTGACGTAGATACACTAAAAAAAGAAATATTATTGAGAGGAAAATCAGAACGTGTTTTTATCACCTTAAGAAACGTCACGAGCTTTGAAAATGGTCTGCGTTTGTATCTCCGCTTCATTCACCTCATTCACCCTGGTTGCAATCCTTCCATATGTCTTATACATGTGTGTGTGTGTGTATATATTGGAGAGTTCGCATTTCTGGAGTTTCTGGAGTTTCTATCCGCGAGAAAAGATACTTCGTCTTCCTTTGCGCCGGCTTGAACTTTATTATTGGTAAACAAGCTTGCTGTTCTTTTCTCTCTTCCATTTCCGTCTCCGTCAGGCCGAGCTGATTTCTCATGTCGTGTTTTTCTCCATCGTCCTCTCTCGGATGGATATCTGTAGGCGTTTGGAAATCTTAGGATTAAACTTGAAGTACGTGATTCACGTCGGGAGGACGAGATCGGGAAAGGAGACGGAAAGAGAAAGAGAGAGAAAGATCAGACAATAGATATATACAAAATATATATCTCGCGTATCCTGCAAGTTATCTACGTTATTATTTAATAAATGCATCACGTAGTTTATTACCGGCAATATATGAACGACTTATAATTAATTATTAATTAATTTCAAAACTAGTTCGCCGGCTCGTAAATTGTGGATTAATGTAAATTAGTGTGTAATTTCAATGCACACGAGAGAGATTAAGCGTGCATCTGCGCGAATATCTCTTTCTTTCTTTCTTTCTCTTTCTCTCTCTACCCGAAATTAAGTTTTAAACTACATAAATGCGAATTTTATATAAAGGAGAATCTTGTTTGTTTAAAAATTGAATGCAAATATTATTTCAATCTTCAAATATGTGCGTAAAATTTGATACTTTTAATTTTACATTACTTTATTATATACTTCACACAAACACACACAAACACACACACACACACACACATATAATTTATATATATATAAATATTTAACGAATTAATTGAACGATTGCATTCGGCTTGCCACTTTACTCGCCGCGTTACAGTGAATATCGCGCGAGAGAGGCAGGCAACATGCGCGGCGTCGTGCACAATTTCGACCGTCCGCGCGCAGACGAAAAACGGCCAATTTATATCTCGACTTCCGGACGCGATAGCGATTTCGTTCTTTTTGCATAAAATTCTACACCATTTCGCGGCACTACCGTTTAAATCTCGTCCCGATCGCCCGAGGAGCGGCTGACTTACAGTGAATATCCGAAATCTGCTTCTTGGACTCACGCTTAAGTGTAATATTTATATATATCGAATAAAAAAGCGAGTTGGAACGCAATCAGTCGAATAATGAATTAAATATTTATATATACCAAACGAAAAGATGAATCGGAATGCATTCGTTCGATTAATTCGTTAAATATTTATAATATATATGAATATAGATTTTGTTTTTAGTTTATCGATTTCATCAACGTTGCTTCAAGCGCGAAGTAATGTTCGCTTCTTCAGTAGAATACTTGAACGATTGCCAACCACGAACTTTTTCAATATAACTTTCTTCTTTGCGCTTAGGAGACTGTTGCTTCGCAGTAGTGAAACGGTCGACTTATCGTTTTAAGTTTATTTTATAAATTCGCACCTATACAAGGTAGAAACCATCTTTTTCACCGTCAAAATATATCATATTTAAGATATTATATTAATATTGTTTTATTTTTCTCAAAATTTCTAACTTCCAAGAATTTTTCTTACAGTTTTTCTTACGGATCCTAGTAAAATGCTGTCCTAGAGATGTCCACTCTACGGATGTTTAAAAGCACACGCGTCTCTCTCCCCTTCATGTTCTTCGTTGCCCGTGTAATTGATGAAACCTGACTCGTCGTCGCGCTGAAGCGGAGAGACGGATTTTCATCTAGCGCCGAGTCGGGAAGAAGAAAAGCGATATCCTTCTGCGGTAGACGGTACACCCCAACGAGAAAAGTTTCTCCCGAGACATGCGTTTATTAAAACTATTTCCTCTTTCCCTTCCTCCATTGCTGTCTACACAGGAATCGACCGATACTATCTCATCTTTCGCATCGAGCCAAAGATTCTTACAAAAATCTCGAATCTCTTTTAAAATGTAACGAAATTGACTTTTCCAATTCCACACATTTCTGTCTTTCAACGACGAAACAACTGCAAAACCACGAACAAATTAAAATCTCGATGTAAAATCGAACAAAGTTTATTATTTCCGGTGCCATTTTATTTTAAGAAATTGTATTATTTTTTTTTTAAACAGAAGACCCCTCCTCCTCCCATTATAGGACATATATAATATCTACAAATTCTCTATTTGTATTTCTTTAGAATTATATATAGTGATATTTAATCTTTCTTTATGTTAAAATTTTAATCAGTATTAAACATTATAATTTTCATTCGATACTTTAACGAGTCATTAATGAAATAACGCAAGTGATTGCGTTTGCGTTTAAATGACTCATGATATCGCTAATTATTAATGATATTATAACGAAGAGGCGTCGGCGGGGTGGCAATCTCGACTCGCCCCGTTGTCTCCCAGACGACGACGGTCGGAATAATTTGCTGCAAGACGTTGCGCGGTAAGAAGCACAGCCGCGGCTTACATAATCCACGCGGGACTGCTTATATTTCCATATAAATTAACGGAACGCGACTGACGACGACTAACGAAATCTCGGGGCGTTCCTTACGGTCCTTTACGTCGCGCGACTTCATAAGACTCGTCGTATCTCAGCGTCACGATACAGAAAGTACCGCTTTTCTCTTCTTCTACCCTTCGCTCATCAGACGCGACGTTTATGGATACTGCCGCTGGTGGTAGTGATGACGGGGGAGAAAGAGAGGGAGTAAGACACCTTCGTTTCTTCGTGACTCGAGTGGAATACCTTCGTCCTAACGAGATTCTCAGTTATCCACTGTGCGTCTTGGGATTGTTCTCGCGCTAATTACCTGGTATAAAAGCATCGACATAGTATAAGAAGAGGTGATGAAAATCGCGCTTTATAAAGTATCAAATTGTAACTGTATAATCCATGAAAATTTCTACGGCTTCTTTCAACGATTTTGAGTTAATCTCTCTTTTGATGAAAATAAATCGAAATAACTTTATGCATTTGCGAATTGTAACAATGAAAAATAAATGGCTTTAATTAAGGCTCAAAATTAAATTTTTATAGAGATTTTTTAAGAATGTATTTTTAACAGTTTACATTTTAAATGATTCATATTTTTCTATGTAATCTATAATTTTTTAATATTATTCATGCGGTCTTGAAAGTTTTTAATTTCGTAAGCTTTTGGAAATTAATTATGTAACGATAGAGAAAGAGAGAAAGAGAGAGGAGAAGAGAGCTCTTATTATAAAATTCGATCAATCTTGAAAAGGAATATAATTACCTTATTATTATTTATGCGATACGCTTCGCGTTTCATTGAGAGAACAATCTTCTGAAAAAAAAGTTTCGATCGATTTGCTTGACTTATGTAACAGCGGGTTAAGATTTATAAATATTCATAACCAAAATGGCTAAGCGACGCTCCTTCCATCGAGCTTTTCTTGCCACAGTCAATCTTGGCAAGGAAAATCACTGGCGTTTTCCTTTGAATATCTTTGAATAAATTCTACGATCTCTCCCGATTCTTGCGCGATACCGTCCTGTAGTGTGCGTATAATCTTCCTGAAGAAAAATGCAAATTATTCATTAACTTTCAGAGTCACGAGCATTTTATCGAATGAAGATCTTCTCGTTTTAAGAAGAAGTTTTTAGTGCCTCAAACGCTATTTCATTTCATTATCCAATTTAATAATGTAACTATAATTTTTTCCGATATAAATATTTGCAGTAAGAAAAGAAGAGACGCTATAGCTTTGCTAATCCTCTAGATTAAAAAAAAATATAACGTTATCGAAAATTTAACATATTTCTGTTATTATTTGTACAATTGCAGTAATAAAATTCTCGCGATTAAACGAAAAGATTATTTACATGAAAAAAATAAAGAAAAGAGATATAGATTTTTAATTACAATTTTCTGGCGTATTCCTCGACGATTACGAGACGAATCGTTGGAAAAAGGCCGCGTTTCGATCTTTCAGAGGAGGTAAACGGTGGACTATTACGAGTGTCAGGTTCATGAACGAGCTGACGAAGTATCCCGGCAGGCGAATGGAAACTCCGTTGTCCTCGGCGAAAAAGGAAATTGAATCGATTGTAATTAAAACTTGTATAACGAAGACATGCGCGCGCGCGCAGAGTTCATTTCAGCTGTCGGGACGGAACGGCGGAAATCCCATTTTTCTGCCTACGTCGGACTGAATCATCGCGCGAAAGACGCGAATGTGCATTTTATAAATTAATACAGTTTCTAATCTCTCTCTCTCTCTCGTCGAAAGCTCGGAATTACAAAGGTTTCAACACAATTATTTCTTTCCATGAATCACTTTTATCCTCCTTTGAATCGTCAACTCTTTAAAATCCAAGTTAAACGCAAATTGAGTATCACAGAATATCTATTGTCTGACAGTTATATAAAATAGACAAATTAAAAATATAAATCGAATTTTAAGTGTTATATACGATATTAAATCCGCATAAAAATTAAAATTAGAGCAAGATGAAATATTACCGTCACGAAATAGATGATACATGACTTTCCGTGTTTCTGCATTTCTGTAAATTGCAATGAAGTTCTTCTTTTCAGGATTTCATGACAATATATTCCGGATAAGTGGCCAAGTCTGTGCTCGTGGTTTTATCTGACTCGGCAATATACAAAAGACGTCGGATTTGAAGAAGAGGTCCCCTAAGCATCGTCGAGGGTAGAATATGTAAATTAGCCCACTTCGCGCGACCACCTCGCAATTTTCTTGATTCTGCGTTTGCAGTCCCCCGTCTTATTACGAATTCAATTATGCGGTCAGTGAGCGATATCGGTACGATAGTGAACACTTCACCGCGAGGATATCGCATATTCGCCATTAATGAGAGTTATGCATCAAGGAGCGGTATCGATTAACGTTTAGCCCAGATATTCCTTCCGTCTTTCCGGTATGTATATATATATATATTTTTTTTTGTGCATATTTGTTAGTATTTTTTAAGAGAAAAAAATATCGATCGGTTCTTACTTGATCTTATACCTGCAAAAAAATAAAAAATATTAGAAGGGAAATGGTATATTATAATGAAAAATAATAATTCTATTTAATAATAAATCTATTTAAATGAGTTACCGTATCTGCAAAAACGTGAGAGCTATAAAATTGAATTTTGTCGAATTTTTATATATCCTTTTATATTCCTTAGTTATCTTTCTTCCATTCTTATTAGGGAAGTACAATATCGGCATTCTTATTAGGGAAGTATAATATCGGCACAAAAAACAACGCGGCTGATCAAAATACGTCAGTTACTAATTTTATTTAATAAATATAATATTACATCATATAACATAAAAGGAATATCGATATCATAATCGCCGTCATCCGCCACTCTTGGATCAGGTAGCACTCGCGCGATTTCAAGTAATAAATATTATTTGCGAATCGCTCGAGTGACAGAGTGTTGTGAACATGTAATATAACTTTTATTCTTTGATATAGAACTCTTCTCCATTTTTCTTTCTCTAACGACAGCACAAAACATACAATATGTTACAATATTATTACAGAGACAGGAGTTATCGCGTGCCTTCAAGCATTTCGTCGACACTACTGATTTCGATTTGATGCTCGAATAAAATATTATTTCGCGAAAATATTTGACTCCGTCTTCTTAAAACGTCTACAACGAAATTTCGCTTGTCAAGGCGCTCTGTTTTTGATTCGTTACATTTAAATTTAAATGAAGCGGATGACTAAATATAATGTATCGGGGCAGTGCATTTTACGTCAATAATGTGCGTTAAAGTAACAATATTAAAACAGAAACGATAATGCAAACAATATCATTTTATCATAAAATTAATGAATCATTTAGAGATTTTTACAATTATTAAATCAATCGCAGAATAAAAACGGACGCATCATCGCTAAGTGAATAAATATATATAAATATTATAAATAATTTATTCTTTACATTTAAACATTTACCTGTTTTGGCCAAAGATCCAACGATGATGAACAATAATAATAATCAAAAATAACACAAGAATGTGTCTCTCATGAAAGAGAAACTTATTATTACACTTTACCCGCGTACCATCCACTCGTCTTTTATTTTCTATCGGTTTAATCATCTCATCGATGATCCTCTATTTATGGACGATGTCGTTGAAACTCATATAAACGATCGCTCGCAAACTGCGGAATTTATTACAGTTACGTAAATTTCTTGAAAAAATTGCAATAACCGATACTTACAAAAGCTTAATTACACGGAGTAATTAAATCGTATCGTGAAAATGACGAGCATTTCCGCCGCTCTAATTTTGTAAGAAGCGATATTGCATTTTCGATAGAAATTAAATTTTTTATCAAATTGCGATGAGTGATTTAAATTTGTTGAAAAACTCGTTCCACGAAATAGAGAATCTACGATTGAAATCTCGCGACAACGACAATTTGACACTAATAATGATCGAAAACAAATTGTATTTGATGAAAATATAATTTTTATCGCAATAAATATAATCATGTAGCGCTGAAAAAGCAATGGATCGCAATTTGTGACATCTCGCAGCGATAACATGATTGCAAAACATCTATCATTTATTATTATGCAAATGTAAAATAACGGCACCATACAGTTTATACTGCAAAAATAAATTAAAAACTATAAAAAAGATCTGATATAATTTATATGTTAAAATCTCGGTCAAGAATTTTATATATTCTGAAATTATACAAGAAATATATGCATCAAGAGGGGAAAACCGCGCATAGCATATCTCGTAAATATAATCTATTCTATATCCTAAGAAACAAAATTTTTGTACATGATTTACTTTTTATGCAAATTAAAAAAACACGATCCTTTTAGATCATATAATAACATTACATCCATACAAGGGGTCAAGAAAAGTTTGTTGCTTACGTACAAGGTACAAGTAACAATTGCATTTTATAAACGGCTTCAAATGATTTATATAATTCGTGACAAAATTCACAGCATAGAAGTCTATTTATGTCTCTTGATAATTTTATGTGCCACAAAAAATATTCGAAAAATTAAAATATACGTATATACAAGATCCATATCAGAATATACATACACACGCACACACACGCACATCATATAAAATGTGTAGTATAAAATCATAAATCTGTCATAAATTCTGTCACGAATTGTAAATCATCTAAAATGAGCTCTACAATTTTTTTCGGAAAAATTAATTCCTTCTCTTGTCTGTCAGAGGAATGCGACAAATCTACTCGTGCGGGAACTGCACGACTTTCCATTAATTAATCTAATATGTACAAATTATATATAGAACTGACGTACAGCTACAAAAAGGGACACTTCGAGATTCTCTATGAAAGTGGAAGATCGCTGGGAATCACGCGACAATACATCGCAAAGATATTCTGCGATATATTTATATATTATTGACGCAAATCTCAATATTCATCATTTATTCTCATAATTGTAAAAAGTTACGTTTAGAATATGAAAGAAAATATATTATATCATTATCAATTTGACAGATTTTTCAGTATATATAATACAACAATTTAAAATGAAACAAGACGAAATAGAATCGTTCGAATCGGAGAGTTTATGAAATTATCTCATTATTTACAATTTAATATAAATTATCTTGGTACCTTTTCCAGTAGAGATTCTCGTTATCTTTAAAAGATGACTTCGTCATCTGACACGCATTCGTAATATACGTAATTTACTATACCTTTGGATCTCGGAGAGAATCTCCGAATCATGTCCCCCTCTCTTTATTTATAAGAAGACACTTACTAGTATTCAATATTCACATAGAGGGAAAGAGGGAGGGCCGACAGCAAAATATTTGACATACGAAAATAGATGTATGAGATTTCTTTACATTGTTCACTATCACAAAAGTTATCTACGATATCGTTAACTAACTTTTAGAGCGAGTTATAACTTTTGATATGTACAATACATGTGTATATACATATGTATCTATACGCTCTCTTAATGAAAGAACTGTCTGTAATTGTGTCAGTCAGTCTGTCTACAGGTATCTATCATACAAACAAATAAAATAGGTAAATTTTAATTAAATTTATATTCTATCTCTTTCTCTTTTGTATAGGCCTAGCTTTTTGGCCCCTTTCATGTCTCATGTGTGTAATTTCTCTCTTATTCTTTAAAAAAGATTTACATTTGTGAAGAGAAACAGGATTGCAAAAATTTAATTATAAAGATAACATGTTATCGTTATTTTTCTCGCATTCTTTTCTCTAAAAAATTATTTATAATTTTTTCCTCTAAAAAAATAATTTGTTACTGTGTTACTTAAAAAATAATAAATCGTTACAATTTTTTATTTAATAAAATAAAAAGAAATCAAGGCTCCAATTCTTCAAAATTACAACAATTATAATGGCCTTATAGAGCAATTTTTTATTTGTAAAAGTATACGATTATATTAATATATTTCAATATAAATATAATATTTGTCATATCAAAAAGATAACGGTAACGTGGTTTTCTGTGAGAAAATATTTTTTGAAGAGAGATAAGGATTTACAAATTTAGAAATATTTCAGTATTTGATCATAAATACAAATAGTTTAAAGATTTTTAAAAACATTCAGAAATTGAAACTTTTACATAATAAAAAGATAATAAAAGAGATTTAATGACTATACACGAAAAATAAATATAAAACTGTATTAATGAAAAACGTATTAGTTTATGGAAGAATGCACAAAATTTAATAAAGTAGATCTCAGGGTAAACCTTGAAAGATTTTGTGTTTCAGTGAATATACATACATTAATCAAATCTCTCATATATTATGCGCGGTACTAAATTACTAACATATTTATATATATACGTGTATATCTTTTTATTTCTCGCTTATCCCCTTCCCTCTTTCTCTCGATTCCTCCCGTTCCTGACGTTTGATAATAAAACGCAAGGAACGCATCATACAGGAACAATATGTACATACATTGCACGTGGATGCACGCGTTGCACGTTTGTCATAATTAGTAATTGTGTTGTATCGGTCAAATTCTCTATTTACACGCACACTTTCTATATCTGTTATTCTTAAAAATTTTCCGGCATAAACATAATGCGATCAATACGAAAGCTCATCTAGTGGAAAAAATCCTAATATGATTCAATATTTCATAATTTCTATTATAAAATTTATAAATTTTTATAAATTTATAATTTATAATTTATAAATTTATAATTTTTATAATTAATCTGTTCTAATACTTTTACTTTCTTTCTTTTTTTTTAAGTAAAAACAATTAAAGGATGACTCTAAATGTAAAAAAAAAGAAAATGGCACAAACAATTGATTTTTAAAATACATTGTCAAGATTAGCATCAATACAAACCAATCACACAAAATTTTCCTTAATAAAATGAAAATTTTTTTAACATAATAATGCTAAAAAAATACATTTTAATTAATCCGTAAAGTGACAATCATTTACTTCAGTTGTCTCGAACAATTAATATTATTCTTTTTCATGCCATTTCACACAAGAAATTTTTATAATTACCTGCGCTTTCGTATTCCATGGATTTTCATCTTTATCGCCAACAACGTCGCACATTACACAAAGAGTTTAAAGAGGTAGTATTTAGTACGATTAATACGGCAGTGTGTCGTTCGGAAAGGGCAGATTGCGATTATAATTGGAATTTCATTAACCAATCAACGCAAGATCGATGATCGATCGTCAAACTTAGCATCATTGTATAAAATTCACGTTATACGTTTCGAGCTGCATCGGTTGTAAACCGATTTCCTGAAGACCGTCTTTGAGACGAGCACCCGGTCTCGTGCCGGTCAATGATGTCTTGGTGACATTGACATTATCGAGCTTATAAAACGCAGTTCCTTGCGCGAGTCGCTCGATGAGCGGACAGTGTTTCAACGCTACGTCAACTCCTACAGAGCAACTATAGCCCTGCCGATGTAACACCATGAGAGCGCTATTTACCGGGAAATGCGGTAATTTCTGATCATGATTGGTGCGCAAATTGAGCAGATGGAGATCGCATGGGAAGCTCTGGCTTAGCAGTCGCACCTCTGGCACCATGGTGACTTCTTGCTCGCTACCATCCACGACAAAGATGTTGACTGGGTAATTGAGAGCGTTGCTCAGATGATTGGCGAATAACGACGGCCTCGAGTACTTGTCTTTTTCGCCGCTGATGTCCTCGAGAAGTAGCCAGTGTTTAATGACGGTTCGTCGATTGTCCAGCAAACCTTCGCCCATACCTCGCGAGTCGTCATACAAAGTTCTACGGTCAAGCATCACTTCTAACCAGCCGGGTTGGTAGCTGGCCGCGCCCTGACAGTGATTCACCAACAGTGTCAATCGGTGATTCGAATCCTCGATGTAAGCCATAGTTGTGATAGGAAAATAATTGCCTTCAATACCGATGCGTTCAATTTTGGTGCGCTTAATCATCTGGTGGCCATTCAGATCGGTGTAAAACTCTGGTGGATCGCCATTGGAGATGTCAGTTTGTAGCCGCATAAACATCTCTGTCTCACGATTCTTAGGCGGTGTCTCAAAGTCCACGATGTTACGCACGTAAATGGCTTCGCCGAGGCCACCGTCGCGATGATAGATAGCTACATGATGCGTTAGTAATTTGCCATACTCGACAGTGAGACGAGAACTGAGGCTGCCACTGACGATGTAGATTTTTTGATGTGGCGTGTATGTTTCGAGGACATCCTTGTCAGTGTCTCGGAGATTTGGATCCGGCATAAAGAGATATGCGCCGCTATGGAATTGCGCTGACGGGTATGCGGCGAATTGCACGGCACACTGCATAATCTTACCGGTGGATTTCTTGGTGACTCTTTTTAGAAAGCCTGTTTGTCCGTCAAATAGTAATTTCATTCGCTGATTTTCCAGCTGCACATCGCCCACCTGCATCGGTTTGATAGGAAAGACATTGTCTTTACCGCAACGGCTGCAATATACCGTTGAGATAGCTTCCATTGGTACCTTATCGACCTGTTGCAAGTGGTATGTGGCGATCGATAGAGGTTTTAGCTCGGCTACGAAGAGCAATACATACACGTCATGCATGATATTCGTAGCATTCATCACCGGTGCAATCTGGTAAGGTATGGGATTTCTCTGTGGGTCCAGCACCTTGATCTTGTACGAAGTAACCTTGAGACTAATCACTTCCTGTCTGGGCTGCGCCAGTGGATTAAAGAGAACGATCTTTCTAGTCTCGTGACCGTTCAAGCCAATCGGTATCTTCTTTGGCAGCTTCTCGTAGCTGTCTCTGTCTGACTCAGCTAGTACATAAACAGAATTCGACTTGCCATTAGTGACAGCCGCCAGCGATTGAATGGCAAAACTTTGCAAACTCGTAGTATCCGAGATTGACTCGAAGAGCTTCAACGCATAATCCTTCATCACGAAAGATTTGGAAGTGCCGGTAATCGCATCGTGATGCTGAAACAGACCTAGATTGCGCCTGGCCTTCACCAGCTTCTCAAAATACGTCTCGTAAAGTTTTATATCTTTGCCGGATTGCTTAGCGAGATTAAGCGTGATTGTATAGAGAATCTCGGCTGATCTGAGATTCGCCTCGAGTTCGCGGTCCAGAATCTTCATGTACGGTCTGGTAGTAAAGTAGCCGCTCCAATAGGCCGGTCTACCTTCACTGAAAATGTCTGAATAGACGAAGAAGTCACCCGTCAACGACGGAAACTTATCCACACGTTTCTGTATCTCGTGGAAATAATCCTTCGGCGTGCCGAATACCACTTCGGCATTGTATTCGTCTTTGCGGCTATTTATATAATCCATCAGGATCTTATAATTAGTGTACTGTTGATCCCACTCGATCGCGTGATCATATCTGAAACATGGGAAATATATAATTTCGTTTATTAATCTACTCTTTGATGCATACAAGTTTGATATAAATGCATTATTTTTAATGCATAAAAATAATCATTTCTTTAGCTTTAAAAATAAAACAATTGTGTTCCATATACAGGGTGAGTTGTTTATCTTGAGACATCGAAATATGTCATAAAGTCTAAAAGATACGAAAAAATATTTCAGACAAAAGTTGTATGGTTTCAAGAGGGACATAAGATGGTGTCAATCATGTTAATTGCAAATTACATTTTTTTTCCGAAACAATTATATGTTTTCTTTATACCAATTGATTCCTCTCATTATTTTGAACATAAAAGTATTAATAGGATCGAAAAATGAATATTTTACAAGATATTTTATCTAAATAATACTATGAAGAGAGAGAAAAGATCTTCTTCGATTTATTCCTCTCGGAATAAAATTATACAAACCTGAAATCATCGCCTAACGGCATTAGGACGACATTGTGAGTGAAGAGCGAGCCGGTTCTCGCGTATTGTTCCAACAGAAGCTCGGCCATCTGCTTGACGTTATTGGGCGTAATCTCGACAGCGCGTACCGAGTACTCGGTATATTCGCCTCGTATCTTGCGGAAATCAAAGTTGAGACAGACGTGCGGATGCGGACCGCACGAATGCTTGATGTTGTAGATGTCGAACGGCTGATTGTGGGTGAGCATGTCAGCGGAACCGATGCGATCCCACGGCTGCCGCCAGATAAAGTCACCGTACTGCTTCTTGGCGAACCATTGCTTCCACGCGTAGTGTATCCTCTGGATCACCGTGCCGGACGCACCTGAGGCTCTCAGGAAGTAGGGTATGGTGCTACCGTGGCCGAACGGATCGACGGACCAACCCGATTCGGGAACCACGTCGAGGTTCGTTTTCAGCCACTGATGACCTAAAGTTTGAGAAAACAAGTTTCTTTTATTATTCTAAGATGTTTGATGCGTTTGGAATGTTCGATGAATATAACAAAGGTGAGAAAAGAGTACAAAATTATAATAATTAATAAACGTTTTTAGAAGAGAAAGTATCATATACAAAAATATTTCATCAACGGATTCTATTAAAAAATAATGATAATTCTTTTATACATGAAAAAGTATATTATATAAAGTGTACAATCTCTCGCATAAATTTCTCGAGTTGTTTTTACAATTTAATGCAATTTAATAAAAAGACTTGATATTATTTAATTAGAAACTAAAATAAAAAGTATCGCTCTAAATTTATTTTGATATAACACTGAATTTGTTCGTTCGTTTATTTCCAGACATTTATATGTCAGAATCACGTATATCTCAAACATCATGTATCAGAATTCTTTAGACGTTTTTATCGATGAATTATAGTTAATTGACTAACAGAGGAGCTCGATATAACTCACGTACGGATTTAGTTTATGGTTTATTCTCGTTTAATCCGCTAAAACTAATCTGCAACTTAATTATGAATCGCATATATATTGCTAAAGCCGCGTCTGCTGGCCTGTCGGTCTTTTTTATGGTATGCATTAATTTGCATCCAGAGGAGCCTTTTAAAGTTCATTCAGCCGCGTTCTGCACGGTGCGATCAAATATTCATAATGCGAATTAATCCGATGTTTCCGTGCCCCAAATATTCAAATTTTTCTAGCGATGATTAATGCGTATTGAAAATATAGATTTATACTGATTGCTTATGCAATATTAATTATTAAACAAATAAACAATGTAATAAAATAAATCAACGAAGAAACATTTCGAATCAAAAAGTCCAAACATTATCTGCGAATGATATAAAATTTTCAAAATAATTAAAATAATTAATCTTAGGAATCCATGTCCTCAATTTTTTACAAAATATGATTCTCTTTTATATTAAAAGTTTTTTCATTTTATTCATAATTTATTATTATTCATAATTATTATTATTATTACCATATCATCAATTTATGATTATTCATAATTATACTAATTATTATTATCATAACTTGTGTTTGACAAGCACTTTTAATCAATAGCACAGAATGCATTTTATTAATTAAGTGTAAAAATAAATAAAGTTAAATAAAAATTAAAGTCAGAACGAAAAAATTCGTAGATCGAAGTTAACAAGTACAGAGAAAGGAGGTAAATACGATTAAAGAGATACGCCATTAGCGGATAGGAAACATCGGGCTTGTCGAAAAAGTCGTCGTCCTGCGGTTACGGGAAGAGGGTCGTCGATCATGGCTGGGTAGGACTAGACGACGCGGAAACTTACGGCGTTGGCTGGCGAACGAAGCCGCGAAATTAATCCCGTAGGAACGCGAGTAGAGAACGCGGGTAGACTCACTGGGGATAGTTAATAGAATTAGCCTAAAGTCAACGGTAGTTAGACGATATCCCGCAATCTCTCTCTTTCTCTCTCTCTCTCTCTCTCTCTCCCCTCCCTCCCTCTCTCTCCCTCTTTCTCTCTCGCTCGCTCGCTCTCTGTCTCTTTACATAGCCACGACAACGAAGCACACTCGTGTGTTATCACCGCTTATCATCCAAGTCGTATTTTGTATAATAAAAGTTTATGGATATATAATAAATAATATTTGTCAAACGGATGAAACATAAATCAAACGGATTAAATGAAAAACCATTACATCTCTTCCATTGTACTATATTCTTTTATATTATATTTATGTGCGCAAAATTGTAATAAAATTACTGTTGCGTTGACAAATATTACAAAGGAATATTTTTATATAAAAATATGAACAAATCAATTGTACTATTTTTCACAATTTTGCACATAATTAAAGCTTGTATATACCTTTTGTAAATTGAATTACGAGCTTTAAATCGAAATTAGCAATTATTCAACAATTGTATGAAAATATGAGCTATTTAGAAAATTCGCGATTTAATACCGTTTGGAGAGAGAGCGCGCGGAAATTAATGTTCACTTTGTGACGTGAGCATCTCGTGAATCCACCCAAAATCCAAATTCTCGGGGTCATTCGCAGCTCGCTTGCAACCCGGAAATTGCATCAATTATTCGAGAAAGCCAGAGCTCGGCCGCAAATTGCGCGTTCGTCGTCCTATCCCGCCGATGGAGCTCGCATTATTGTGGAAGTCCGGAGATAGAGATGGGGAGGAATAGGAGAGAGAGAGAGAGAAATATATATAGAGCGAATGAGAAAGAGACGCAAAATAGAGAGGAGAGGATGCGGGTAGAAACCAAGGTGAGAAAGAGGGACTAGAAGGGTGCCTAATGCAGAGAATAAACCATTAAACTGTACTCAGCCAGGTGCTCGACTGATTATAACTCGTTAGAACTGCACGACATGTGTACATTAACAGAATTATCGCGACCCACCCTGAAAGATTGCGAATTCGCTGCATTTCCGCATTCTCTGGGGCGAGATAGGTAGAAAATAATTGCGGAAAATAGTATATAATATATGTATAAGATGTAAAATTTAAAAAAAACTAGGTAAAAATATTCGAATACGGAAATTCTCTTCTCTCAGTATGTCTCGAATCTTTGCAAACCAGCGATTGGAGACAAGGAAGAAATGTGAAAAAAAAAGCTACGGACAAACTTTCGAAAAAGCTACGGTCACGTTCTGATACTCCGAGATAGGATGTGCAAGTGCATGTCGAGATGCTGCGTGATATATGGAGGATTTGCTACACGGAATAAGTCAACGTGTCAATTCTCTTTGGATAAAAGCAGAAATTTCAATTTATCAAAAAGTGTTCGTTGTTTAACAATTTTTTTCAACTTTTTTTTGCGAATTATTTAATTTGCACAGTCCAGAACGATAATGATCAAGAACGAAATAGAAAATGGAGAAAGATTGATATTTTTTTATTCCTTCAAAAAATAATAAATATTTCAAAAAATATTCTTTTTCTCGTCGTCCAAATTTTCTAATGCTTTTTATTAAAATGTAAAGATTTGAAATATTTAAATTCCAATGTAATACGTAATAGTTATCGCTTTTAGCGAGAAAAAGTCAGGAACGCGAATAATACAAGATTTTTAGTCCCATTATCAGTTATTAATAATCCGAATGCGTCACGTGTATAAGTCGCTATCAAATTTTTAACAACTTAAAATAAAGAAATGAAGAATGAGTTTGTATTCATAATCGGCCGATAATGAGAGATATCATGTGCCACTTGTTGCTTTAATTCCGAGTTCTAATCACCAAAGTTACTAACGTCGATTTTCGTACCGTCCTTACGTTTCCCCTAGAGAGAAGTTTGTCGGATCAGATTCGTTAATAGTTACTAATTACCATCGGACGAACCGAGAAATCCCAATTGACATGTGTAATTTATATCCAGTATGTCAATTTTGATCGAAAATATCCGATGACTTAGTACTCAAAAAAGCGTTATCGCGTTACGTTAAATCTCTATCTCTATTCTTGTTTTACTTTTGAATCTCATTTACTTAAATTTAATTTTTTTAGGATTGTATGATACTATATCAATGAGAAAAAAAATTGAGATGTATTTTTATATCGTAGAACGAGCCATGACTATCCCGTTTCGTCGCAAAGAAAGAAAACTAACAAATTATCTCCTCAAGCGCTATTTATAGAATCAAGCTGCGGTTAATAATGGCTAATTTCTAGGCATCGGTATCGCCGAATAAGGGATTCCGCGACAGCTCTGGTGATAATGGACTCATTTCGATGCGCTTCCGGTTATTATCGTTCCTGCAGCATGTTATAGCGTGAGCCAGGAGGGAATAGCGTTTATCTCGATCTCCACGATTCACGACCGTCGCGACATCGGTTCTCCGGGCTGTTTTCGGATACCTGTTGTCGAATATATACAATATATCGTGTTCCTCGACAGCGGGAAAACATTTTCCGCCTTGCTGCACGTTCCAGCACCACAAGTCTCGCGATCAATTTCCAGTTCCGGAGTTTGTAAAAGGAATGAAGTAAACGTGAATGCGGAGAATAGAGGTACAATATTCATAAAAACCAAATAAAATAAGAATATTAGAATTTTCTCGATAAATAAATAAATGAATAAAGCAATATATTAATGAAATGAAAATATTATATAAAAGTATTATAAATATGGTAGAATAAATTACATTACTTTGCTATTTTATGATATTCTTTACAAGATTTTTTGTTGGTTGCATCGTAAATTTTTACTGTATTATGGATTCTGCATTATCATTTTTTGAAAATATCTTTGCATATGTAATTTATAACTAAATCAGTATATTTCTGCAAATTATGTGAAATAGGAAAGAAGAAAAGGGGAGGATAGAAAAGAAGATGGTGCATGTGTGTGTGTGTGTGTGTGTGTGTGTGTGTGTGTGTGTGTGTGTGTGTGTGTGTGTGTGTGTGTGTGTGTGTGTGTGTGTGTGTGTGTGTGTGAGAGAGAGAGTGTTAGGCGATGATGTTATTTGGATGCGAAATGAGACAAACAGGCGGATAATTAATTTGTCGTGTTTATGATTCATGGGGAACGGATTTCCATCGGCAAACACCCTACCATTATGATACGATCGCTCTATTGTCCTTACGTCGAATCAGGCCAACCACAGAGTCGTATATCAGTCGAGCCATTCTGATCGAACAGGTGCGATCGGAATGAGATGCGTTCGCATTCGAGCTCGTAAATTATGCCGATCCGTTCGCCATGCGTGACGTCCGCGATTTGTTGCGGGATGCAGTTGCGGACGAATGCATAATTCTACGCCCTCGTTCGTAATACCGCGTGGTTGCGCTGGTCAGCCTGATCAAAACGAATCTAAAATCAGCGCCGTGTTTAATTCCACGTCGAAAGAGTTTCCGCTTGTGCGTCAAGCCGTAAAAAAATTAATTAGATATGTAATATAACAATTTTAGGATAAATATAAATTGCGAAGCAATTGTTCCAATTTTATAGAGTATAATTCGCAGAGAGA